ACATAATGCATCATGCATGGGTTGGCCCGGAATTTCCAATGAAGACCCGAAGCTTTCCGTCACACCGCGGAATGAGATGCTGCACTTTGTCATTCTCTAGAGATTCAAGAATTCTTGGATACTCTTAATGACAACTTTGGGAGCCTTTCATCGCGAAAAAAAAGAGAAGAACGATTTCAGGAGCAGCAATACAGGGACGTCATAGATAGTCTGCAGTGATTTACAAAGTCGACGAGACCGACTGGGCACTGGACCTCTGCCGCAAATTCGGCTTGATCCATTCGCTACTGAAAGATGAACGAGTTTGATACATTTCTGCGTCTCAGTGTGCATCAGCGGTATGATCTCCCTCATGTCAATAATTCCATTACTCCAGATACACTGATTAGCTTTGCTTTCTGCAAATTGTTCCCAGGCGAGTTCGAAAGCTCGGACGTCAATTGGCTAACGACATAGTCTCGGATGGAGCACTCTACTTCTCGCCCACCTGCTTCACACTCTACATCTGTTTTACACAGACATGCTCATTGATGGAGCACCATGATGCGAAAGATGCCATCAAACTACATCGCCTGGCTAACGACCTGACGAATCTAGGCCTCCAAATTTTCTAGTGCGTCGACGAGTGTTCACCACATGGAGCACTTCTCCGTTTTCCCCGTATTTTGGCCAACGCTCAATCCTGCTCCACTGGACATCTCTTGCAAAGCGATTTGTGCAAAACATCAACACCTCTTTTTGTTAGTCATTTTTTTGATATATCTTTCTTTTCTCTCACAAATCTCCCATATGCCAATTCAGGAGCAATCTTGCCTCTGATTCTGGGCCAATCTCCGTTCGATCTCCGGCATAGCGTCTTGGGCCATTTTGCATAGCAATTGTACCATCTCTATCAAAAGACCTGGAAGTCAGCCGGTCAAATCAAGGAACGTAATACCATCATTACGGGATGTGACTTACGGTCGGTGAAGCTCGGGTAATCACCTGACGCTTCGATGGCTGCGTCGGCTCGAGCTTTGAACATGTTCAACATGCTTTGTGGACCACTGATAGAATGAGACTCTTCTGCATGCTCTGTCGTTGAGTGACGTTCGGTCTGATGGGGACAAGAGTCGGCGTCGTGGTCTTCGTGTCTACAGTCGTGCCCGGTCTGTTGCTCTTGACGTTCTGCCATACGACGCTGAGACTCTGCTGCTCTTCTTCTCCTTTCTTGCATAATTGATGCTCTCGGTTCCTGCTCGTCCGTCTTGCACTCGGATTCGGGTCTCTCATTCGACAATGGCTGAGTTCGTCCTGGGTGAGATCCTATGGCAGCACCTGGCATCGCTTGCCTTGCTTGCTGCACGTTGCTGTTACCCATTGCTTCTTGTCGTTGCGCTTCCCCATCTCTTCGGTCCTTGGGCAGTATCGGCTGTGGTGTTCCTCGGGAGTGTTGAGGTTGAGGATGCGGGTTGGCATTGACGAATCTCTGCTGTGGGTCTGAGACCTGTGGATGTGGAGGCGTGGGGCTTTGAGATCTCTGCTTCGGCGCTCCTTGTGGGTGTGGAGGCGGAGGAGGCTGAGGCATGGCACTTGCAGGCTGCCTTTGCTGTGATTCCCCCTGTGGATGAGGTGTTTGAGGATGTTGAGACATTGCATTTGGAGGCTGACCTTGCTGTCTGCCTCCTTGTGGGTGTTGCGGAGTACTCAGGGGATGTTGAGGTGGAGGATGTTGCGGAATTGCGTTCGGAGGCTGCCTCTGTTGTGGGGTTCTTGTGGGATGCGGTTGAGCGCCTTGAGAAATCTGAGGTTGAGGGGGGTGCTGTGGAGCTCCTTGAGGATGCTGAGGTTGAGGGGGGTGCTGTGGAGCTCCCTGAGGATGCTGAGGTTGAGGGGGGTGCTGTGGAGCTCCCTGAGGATGCTGAGGTTGAGGAGGGTGCTGTGGAGCTCCCTGAGGATGCTGAGGTTGAGAGGGGTGTTGAGCAGCTCCCTGAGGATGCGGAGGTTGAGGAGGGTGCTGTGGAGCTCCCTGAGGATGCTGAGGTTGAGAAGGGTGCTGTGGAGCTCCCTGAGGATGCTGAGGTTGAGAGGGGTGCTGTGGGGCTCCTTGAGGTCGTGGAGGCAACACAGGTTTTCGGACTGGCATTTGGCTCCTCTGATTGTTCCCCGGGCTTGGACTCGGCGTTCTCCCTGGGGTAATCTTATTCATTCCCGGGCCAGGAGAAGGGACCCTTGTTGGAGATGAACTGGGAGACAGATGGGGATGCTGACTGCCGGAGGGCCCGCGGTTGTGACCGCGCTGCGGCGTCTGAGGTGCTAGAGGATGATGCGGAGGCTCGACTATCGAGGGTCGATTTTGATGATTTGCAGGAGCTTGGTTGAGTCTCTGAACATTTAAGGCTGGATGCGCTCCTGGCGCTCCTAGTGGGTGAGGTCCTCCTGCACCAGGCTGATGAGTGTTCCTTGGCATTTGCTGGCCGTTGGGGTTGATCATTCCATGGCCAGGTTGAAGAACGTTCGGTCTGGGGCTGGGTGCACTCTTTCCGGATTCTGCATGGTCAAATGGCATCACCCCAAGTCCTCCGGCTATTGCCACACCATCGACGGCGAATCTTCCTATGTTCTCCAACCCATGCTCGACAGATCGACCTACTGCTTCGGCTCCTTTACCCAAGGCGTGTTCGTCTCTGCGCAGATGATCAGCTGCTTCGTTCAGACTTTGCTTCAGGTCATGCTCTCCCCTGCGGAGGTCTTGACCCAGCCCGAGGTGAGGCAACTCATGTTCGAGCTTGTGGAACTCATCCACTAGATGGTTCTCGCCCTTCCGAATCTCTTGCCCAAGCCCAGTATTGGCCACCTCGTTCTCGATTTTGTGGATATCTCCCATCAGGTTTTGCTCGCCTTTTCGGAACTCTTGCCCAAGCCCAATATGGGGGAACTCTTGCTCGAGTTTGTGAACCTCTCCAATCAGGTCATGCTCGCCTTTTCGAACCTCCTGGCCCAGTCCGGTACGTGAGAATGCGTTCTCGGCCTTGTGAACATCTCCCATCAGATCGTGCTCGCCTTGTCGAAGATCCTGTAGAACATTCATGGGGGGCAATAAACCCTCCGCGGCATGAGCCGCTCCTTCGAGGCCAGCTTCCAGACCATGTTCTCCTCTTCGAAACTCTCTTGCTGTCTGACCACCTAATTTGTGCACTTCCGCATCTGCCATACTAGTATCTCTTTGAACATCTCGCTCAAACCCGTTCTTGTCTTTCTGGAGGGAGTCTCGGGCATCACGGCCAGCTGATCGGAGTTCCCCTTCCGCTCTGCGACCGGCTCCTTCAAGGCCAGCTCCGAGAGCATGTCCATCTCCCCGCGAACCTGCTTCGCGGCCTCTCAAGGCCTTTTCAGCTTCTCCTTTACCCTTATTGAGTTTGTCCCGCGCATCCTGCTCCGCTCCACGAACTTCGTTTTCCATTCCACTGTTACGAATGTCCTCACTTGGTCTTCGAGCGCCTGAGTACGTATTGCCTTCGAAATGACTTTCATGAGCCGAATGTTGATCCTGTTGACTGTTCGAACCCTTGTATGATTGCATTCGAGAGAGACCCTCCCGGAGTCCTCGACTGTCAATATGAGGGTCTCCTTGCAACTTCTGCAGGTATCGTTCGATGCTTGCATCATCGACATGGTCACCCGTCTGCGATGAATCATGTGCGTTTGATTCTTCTCTAATACGGGAGTCGACTTCTGTGGTGCGCGTCTCTTCGTCTCGACCTTCATTCCGGTCTTCCTCTTCCACATCACGCGGTTGAGAAACGCCAGCTAATTGCTTCAACATCGCCCATCGAGCTTTTGTTTCGGCACTGACCTTAGGCCTTGGGCTTGGACTTCTTCTACGACGCTCGATTCCGGATGGTGACACTAGATGAACCGAGTCCAATCGCTCGCTAGAACCCCGACGTTGGTCTGAAGAGCTGCTCGTGCGAACATTGTCATATTTGTGGTTGATGTTTGCGGCTGGCATGAGGTTTGCCGGTTCCTGTGGCTCGCTGGTTCCGTAGCGATGGTCTGAACCTCTACTTGCATGAGGATCCATCAAGCCCGGGTCTAGGAAGGGCGTTGACATCGTGTTTCCGGACTGTGATCTCTCGCTCAAGTCAGAACGACTTTCTAGATTGCTGTGATTGCCATTGTTGCCGAAGGCCTGACTCGGGGAACGGCCAGGAGTTAAAGTTGCGGATTCCATTTGCTCACGAGAGTCGAGAACACGATCTGAATTCATTATAGTGCGATCATTCTCATAGGACTGGCCTTCGGACTGCGTCGACACCATGTTTGTTGAATCTGGCCTGTCGTTATCGTCGTAACGCTGGTTTGAAACGCTACTTGCGCGGACATCCCTTGAGACCGAGCTTGCAGACAGGTGACGTTCGAGATCCATAGTGTTTGAGCTGTTGATCGTCTGCCATCGCCCAGATGCTGACCTTGCCGGAGACTCGAATTGTGCTCCAGCGTCGAAGTCCGCTTGGTAAGTATCACTGCCCACGAAGCTCTGATCATCCATCTCGAAAGGCTCCTTCGTCCGGGATTCGACTGGAGTCGAATCATTCATGGATGTCCGTGTGTTGATGCGCTCCTCCTACGAAAAGCTGACCTGCTTAGGGTTCCATCTAAATTCAGGAAGACAATGTTTAGGTCTGGATGTCGACCTCGTATAGAAGTTGTCGCATAGCAGGCCTGGCGTACTACTGTGCAGTGGCTAGTCTATAACAGGGCTCCGTTGATTTATTTCGGTGTCTACGAAAGTATAGGCTGGGTTGCGGCTATGAAAGCAAATATTGTGCCTAAGGTACTCGAAGTCAGCTTACATACTCCGAAACTCTCTTTCTCGCTTACCTCTAGCGCTATATCTAAGCGGCAAGCCGGCCTTTTCAGCTACCTTGGTTTACCTCAGCATTTGAGACGATGTTCTTACCATCTAAGCACCATCCGACACTAACATCCAACAGTGGTGACTAAGCTGTTCGCCAAATAATAAGCTGATTTCAGCTGCTGCATCCACTATGCTGACTTCGGCTCCAAGAGCCTCATCGGAGGTCTCCTAGTCAGTGCACTTGCGAAATCATACACCTTGGAGGCGTCTCTGTCTAGAATGCGTACTCAGCCTCTGACCGAGGTGCGCTATCTTAGGATAACATCAATAGTTCTCTGAAAGAAATGGAATCTCCCGAACCATTTAAAAACCACCATCTGGGCCGCCTCTTAGAACGTTCCAATCTTATATCTTCACTGACTCTCAGTCTCATTCACCACGGATTCTCCAGCTCTTCTCTCACCACCACTTCCACGAACAAACTCTCACAGAAGATCTACTTCAAGAAATTCTTTAGCTCGTCACTTGATCCTTCAATCTCAACTTTCCAAAAAGATGTCTCAATACGGTCAGCAACAGCAGTATGGTCAACAGGGCGGCCAAGAGGATTATAGCCAGCAGGGTCAAGACCAGGGTTACGGTGAACAAGAACACCAAGGCTATGACCAGCAACAGCAAGGCGAAGATCCATATGGCCAACAGGACCAGAATGGCTATGGAGAGGAGCAACAAGGGCAGGAGGACCCAAGCCAGCAGGGTTTCGGCCAACAAGACCAGCAGGGCCCCATGAATGGCCAGCAAGGCCGCCAAACTCCTAACAGACGCCCCGGCCAGCCCGGCCAGCAAGGCGCCATGACCAAGCGTCAGCCTGAAGCCGGCAAATCTGAAGCTGGCAAACCTGGGCCTGGCAAGACTGAAGCTGGCAAACCTGGAGCTGGCAAACCTGGAGCTGGCAAACCTGAAGCTGGCAAAACTGAAGCCGGCAAACCCGGGGAGCTGAAGAAGCTGGAAGAGGGCAAACCTGAAGCCGGTCAACCCGGGGAGCTGATGAAGAAGGAAGAGGGCAAGGTCGGAAAGGAGATGGCCCACAAGCCCGTCGGCAAATCTGGCAGGACATACGACAAAAATCACCACAACGCCATGTACCACCAGGGCAAAGTCGGTGAGTACTTCTGATAGCAATCGTTGTCCCCACATGCGGTTGCTGACGCTCGATACAGCTGCCGGTGGGTTCACAAAGGATCACATGGAGTCCTTCATCCACCTCGGTACCTACGCTCTCGGTGCCCTCTCCAACCAGCACGGTCTGGCTCCTGATGCACCGCATCCGGAGGGAGAGGAGGAGTGACTCTCCCGAACACTAGGACTACCCCGGCTACTTCGTCTGCGCCTGGGGTTCCTGCTGTCGTTTGAAGGATGGACAGCTAGACAAGTCGTACTGGGCTGGGGGCTGACGGTGTTTTGCCTTAGCTTGGCGACGGTGCTGTTGTTGACGCTGTTGTTCGCTGCGCATGTTTTGCTGCTGGGGGTGGTCGTTACGATGTATCTGCGTGGTTCTTTCCGGGGATGGGTGACAAAAGGGGGGGGGAGGAAGCGAAAAGTGCGTTCGTAGATGGATAGATGGATAGATAGATAAGATCTTGCAACTGTGATGGTGTCTTGCGTCTGACCTATCTCTCTACGCATGCATCTCTGTCCATACGCTCACACTCAAGCCTCACAGCCAACACTCACCCCGCGATCCCATTTCACTCCCATTCTTCCACCTCTCTTACCAAAACAATCCTCAACGGCTCGACCCCACTCGAACATGTACGCCACTCTACCAAATCGGCCCGTCTTCGAAACCCCGAGCCCCCGTGGCGCCCTCGCCAGACTTCCAGGCCCCAGCAAGCAAGCAAGCAACCCCACCAAACACCAGCACATGCTCGAAAAGGAAAGTCGAAGCAAGACGCGACGTTGGTGGAGGCCGGCGGGGCTCTTTTGATAAGCGGACACCCAACTCCCTCGCTTGTTAAGGTAAAGTAGTGCTCAGTCAGCGCTAAGAGCTCGCTTAGGCGCATTGGTCCGTTTTGGCGGGAAAGCTTACTTTACTTTTACTTTACTTTACTTTACTTTCCACATCCTGGGCGACTCCGATGTTGGTCCGGGGGTGGATGCAAGGGAACTTGTCGTAATTCAGGTGGGGACAAGATGGTCTGAGCAGTTGAGTTTTTTTGGTCGGTAGAGAATAGAAAGTAGAAGCGTTATTCGAGCACCGGAGTGAACACGTTTTTTGTCTAATATCAACACAAGTGCAATGAAAGCAGGCAATGCAAACTACCGACAATCCCATCTCCAACCACTCACTATCCTACATCGCTCTACCGCTTCCCTCCCTTCACAGGCACCTTGGGGCGCGGCGACCCTTTACCACCAATGTTCAAGTTCTAAGCCCAATTGCTGTTAGCCGTTCGCTCCCCAACCCTTTTGCCTCTGGACAGCTCTTACCAAACTCTGCCCTCCGAGGTTGAGCCCTCCTAGTGCTTGCCCTTGGTCGTTTTGGTCTGGTTGAGGCGCTGGGGCGGGAGTAGTAGCAGGAGCGGACGCTGGAGCTTCTGCGGGTTGTGGGCCTGCGATGCCACCAAAGAGGCCAGAGATGACGGGGCCCATGATGGGCGCCATGAGGCCGCCGAAAAGTCCTGCCATTGCGACTGAGTTGGATTTTTGGATGTAGAGAGTGCGGTCGTGTGAGTCTTGAAGGGTCTTGAAAGGGCAGAGACTCGTAGAAGAGTGGTCTGGTGAAGGGGAAAAGGCAAAAGGATGGTCAATAATGAGCAGACATGGTCAACAAGACGCCAAATTATATATCTGGAACACAAATAGAACCATAGAAAAGAGACTATGTTAGCCCATGAATTGACCAGCGAAGCTTACTGCTGCTCCACAGTGGCGTATGGGTCTCTCCTCAGCCGCGTAGTTCAGCAGTCATCAAATGAGACCTAGCTCCTGTGATGAGTAAGACGCTACAGTGTGGCGGTCTTTGACGATGGGAGCTACCACCTGAATAGGATTATCAAAGATGTGATGACGGCTGTCTGTAAAGGCTGATGGGTTCTAAGAATGACAGCCCACGGAGAGATCGAGAAAGGACGACGGTTAGCGGTCTGAATTTTGGACATCACCCTCTGTGGTTATTTTCTCTGCATTGACAAGGTTGGCACTTTGACTGGGATCTACTATACTCGCTGACAGTCGACGAAAGCTCGTGATAATTGACACCTGCTTAGACAGTACTGTTTTGACCATACTGCATAGCTCACGTTGGCGGCTCATATGGCTTGACGAGCATCTCGCTGAAACTGCGGTACAATGACCCGTTAGCCAAGTCACAGGAAGTCTAAGCGCAATAGGCCCTCACCTCTCCAGTTTCTCCTTTCCCCTAACCTCCTCCACCAGCAATGGCATCTTGACGACATTGAATTCATCATATAGCTCCTCAATCTGCTCCAAATACTTCTTCTGCATTTTTCTCCTTGAATTGCATTGCTCGCAGGGATTATTCTTTTTCGGGAATAGCAGCTGATTTACCACAATGGCGTGTGTATCGATTTGGTACGATGAAAGCTCCTGGATCATGCGCTCCGTCTCGTATAACGACAAGAACTCGGGAATACAGACGCATACGAAGGTCGTCATATCTGGGTTCTTGAACTGAGTGTTGACCTCTCCAATGGTTTCTCTCAGTGTCTCCATCTTTGCGATGACCTCGTCCAGATTCTGTCCACCAGGTAGTCCACCTCTTGCGCCAATGACGGAATTAAGCATAGGTCCAAACTGCGTAGATAGCTGTGAAATCTTCGCCAGCGCTTTTTCCATCACTGTCGGAAATTGTAAGAATCGTAGAGTATGACCTGTAGGTGCGGTATCGAAGATGATGGTCTCGTAAGAGAGCGATTTGACCTGCTTCAGCACCTCTGCGAAGGACATGGCTTCGTCCACACCAGGTATCTGCGAGACCAGTCAACTGCATGACTTGGATATGATCAGCTTCATATCCCGAAGACTCACGCTAAATGCCAAATCCTGCATCATCCCTCCCATTCCCCCAGTCTGCGCCATAATCTCCTCGGCCCCTTCGCCACCCTCCTTGAGTAGATCTTGTATACTCCCATTCGGATCGATCTCCATAGCGCTCAGGTTGGTGAAGCCATCAATCAGTCTCGCCTCTTTACCGAACTTCTGGCTGAAAGCATCGCTAAGGTTGTGCGCGGGGTCTGTAGAGATGAGGAGAACGGATTTGCGGACACGGGCGAGCTGGATGGCGAGGGAGCAGGAAGTGGTGGTTTTGCCTACACCTCCTTTGCCGCCGACGAAGATCCAGCGGAGAGACTTTTGGTGTATTATGGATTCGAGAGTTGGTGCGAGATCTTCCGAGTCGGCGTCGACTGTTGCGGACATGTTGGTGAAGGGTGGTGGGGTCAACTGTGGTGTTGGATGATGGTGGTACAGATTGTGTAGTTCAGAGTATGTTTAAAGAATAATTAGGATTGTTTGGAGAGAGTCACGAGTATTGGCAACTGGAGTGTCAAAGTTGGATGATGGCCTGACGTAGCTTTGAATTGTGAATTCTGATGCTTGAACTTCGAAGCCTGGAGCGCGGGATCATCGCTGGCCAGGCTCTGAAGTAGACTACGAGTAGAGTAGCTGGACCCTTCAGCAGTCACGCAGCCTTTCTAAAGTACCCTTCTCACCCGGATGCCCCGTTTCAAAATGATCTTAAGGAAGTTAAGGTCCCCTTGAGCTACGAGAGGTATTGCAGACCGCTACATCTTTTGTCTCTCCTCCCTTATTCCTCATCATTCCACTGTCACTGTCAATCCGCAACATGGAAAACCCTGGTCAATCTGAATACCTACCCAAGGAACCCTCCTCACTCCTCCCAGCGGCTACCACCAGCAAGTCAAAAGATCCCATAACCTGCCACGTCCTCGACCTCGTCAGCGGCGTCCCTGCTCCGGGCCTTTCAGTCTCCCTCACCCTTCTCAAGCCATTTGGTCCCTCGGCCGCCTTCAAGGCCCTCACCAACGCAGACGGTCGAATTTCGAGCTGGGAAGCCCCAGACGGTCCATCCCTAGCCGAGATTTTCGAGAATCTACATGAGCATCCGGAAGGCGGAATGGTATGGTCGTTGAAATTTGAGACGGGAAGGTACTATGGGGTGGGTAATACCTTTTTTCCAGAAGTGGAGGTCAAGTTTTCGGTATTGCCGGATAGGGGACATTATCATGTGCCGTTATTGCTGGGGCCGTGGAGTTATACTACATATCGAGGAAGCTGAGACAATGGCTCGACCGCAATGAGCAACGGATATTTTGGGACTATCTGAGGATGTATGCGGATGGATTTTTGGGTGCCTGCCCTACATACGAGATATCATTGGTTCTGTTCAGAAGGATACACGCGCGCCGAAGATTCCTATCTCGTACTCACTCATTACCGACAGCCATTAAGATCAACACGAGGTGAACGTCAATAAGGGCTTGATTTCTACTGTGAGGCTCTCTTGCGATCTTCTGACTCCTGTACATGCCTGCCTCTTCAGTGTTTGGGGCAAGCAAGGCTTGGTCGGTTTTTCCTCATACATTATTCACCGCCATAATTAAGCCACTGACGAGGCTACTGAAAGCCATGGATTTCGAGGCAGCAAACGGCGTCCCGAACCGGATGAGGCTCTGTCGCGGGTCCAGGTACACAGTAAAACAGGGCGTCGCTCACTAGCTCCTGCATGTCACGTTGTACTTTTATGAGCCGCGATGGTAATGTTCATGAACAGAGACTCATCCTTATCAGATCGAATTCTGTCCGTCGTGAAAGTCGATCAAGCTCTCGCTACATATCGTTTGAGTATCGGATCAGCCTTGCGCTCGCGAGGCGGCCAATGACGGGCAGGATAGGCAAGCTTGCAGCGGGGACTACCAACCCACAATTACCTTTTTCGTTGTGATTCGAGCATCTTGAGCCTAGAAACGTTCCATGCTGCTTGAACACAACTCCCCGCCTTGTTTATACGTGGCGAGGGAGGAGTGGATGAGGTATGGCAACCTGCAGCAGCACGCTGACATTCGGGGTTGGAAATGCGAATGCTTAGGAGCCTGGATCATTGGCTAGAGAGCGATCTTCGGCTGGAATCGGTATTCGTGAGATATCTATCATGGTTCATGACTAGGTGTCGTCGCCCTGGGAAAAGGTCTGGATTTGAACCTCTTACTGACTAGACAGTTGGGTTTGTCTTTCCGCTCAGTGAGATTCTCCAAAGCGGTAGACGACTCCCTTCGCACAAAAGGGAATGCCCTCCTCTCTTGCTCTGACTTTGATCTACACTCTTCACCCGCGCAGCTCCAACAATGCCTTCAACAAACTCCACTTCCAGTAATGCCTACACCACCTACTTCGTCCCCGGCTACTCCATATCCCGACACATAATGTTCACCGTATGGCTTACCTCGGTGCTTTTTTGTTCCAAATGATATCTCTTCTTGAGTCGCAAGACATGTTCCGAGAGTGGTACCTTTGTGCCACCTTCGATACCACTCCCAAACTCTGTCTTGGGACTTGGATTGCATTCTGCCGTAGAAATGCTAACTCGGAAATGTGTCCGATAGCATATACAATACCATCTCGGTCCTTATGTCTCCGTGCGACCATTCACCTACCAGCAGAGGGAGGGGTATCTGATCAGTAACCCCGGCAGTGCCTTGACCAAGGTCAGCATCCTTCCTTCAGGATCAGCGGTGAGCATGCTGACGTGTACCCAGAGCCAGATAGAAGACCTTCAATACATGTCCCGGCAATACGAGCAGCAAGAGGCCGAAAGAATGATAAGAGCGAGCGGAGCTCTAGACAGGGCTGATGTTTACATCAATCGACCGATACCGGTCCAGCAACGGTATGGACACTGACCCGGAGCGGTGAAGCGGAGTTGGTCTGGCAGCTGCGTGTATATTAGACGGCCCAGCCGTACAAGTCCGGAGGAAGCCCTGGTCATCAATCATCATCCAGAGTCATAGCCACTTTGGTACATACCCGAACCCGAGCGCGCGATTGCGCTCTCATACCATACGTACCACACACACAACGAACGTACCTATGACTTATACCATCTATATCATACCCGTATGACTAGTCTCTCGGTTGTTCCATCGCACCACTCCCCCACACGCTTCTTCATCTTCATGTTCCTAATTAGCTTCATTGGCTATGGCCTGCCCTGTCTTCTTTCCTCTTTGCTTCCCTTCTTCCTCCAATTCACCTTCTCCTCCCTGGCCCCATTCTGGTCGTTGTGAATCATGCTTGATGGGTGTGGGGTAAACAGGACCTGCGACGTTGTTCTGAGGTCCAGCGAGCAGGAAGGAAGGAGGGATTGACTGGGCGTCTGGGAAGAGCAACAGTACGCTGACATGCTTCCTGCCTCTGATCGGTGCCGCAATCAGGGTTTCCTCGTTCGGGCATGTTCAATCCATGATGACACATGATCACCATCAACACCATCCAACACATCACTTCGAGACAACACATCCACACATGCTTCAACCCAACACCCACAATCCTACCTCAACACATTCCCACACCCACGCGACGACACCCCAACACACCAGCCCGCCTCCTTCAACCCTCATCAGACTTCCACACGTAAGCAGCATCGGAAGTAAGATACCACGTCCTCGGCCAGGCTCCCGAACCAACGCGACGTCCGAGAAGCGCCAGGCTCCACCCCCCCGCGGAAATCTGATGTCCCGGATCGACACGTGCCTTGAGGTCAACGAGTCACTGAAAAGGCACGGGGTACGGGAGTGGACGTCGTGCGTGGAAGGTTTGCTGCCGAAGTCCACACGTGCCGGACTTTAGAATCTCAATCCTACGTCTCGACCACGAATATCCTTCGGTCTGAGACAAGGCCGAAATCTAGACTGTTCGGTCGACAACTTTGTTGATGTTACATTGTAAACGATATATACACCACATGTATACACAACCGCCAACGTCCCGGGCCATCAGCAGGCGCTGACCAACTCATACGCCACGGCACCCAACCGGACCCCCACCGGCGCGCCCCCCATCTCCGCCGTAAAACTCACCCTGCTCAAACCCCGCCAGCTCCCCTCCTCCATCCGCACGGTCCGCATCCCCGGCCCCGGCACCGCCACCGTCCGCTCCGTCCCCGACGCCGCACCGATGCCGAACATCTGGACCGTGCAGGTCGCCGTCACTTCGGACGGCGTGTCGCCGCACGAGAGGGCGAGGGATGTGATGGAGAAGGAGAGGGAGTCGGGGGCGAGGGTGATTTGTTTCGGTTCGGAGGCGGAGAGGGCGAGGAGGTGGGTCGAGGGCGGGAGGGGGGATGTGGAGTTGGAGGTGGTGGTGGTGAAGGGGGCGAAGGTGGTGAAGTTTAGGCCTTGGAGGATGAGGGGCATGGAGGGTATGGGTGGGATTTCGGAGAACTGGTGGTCATAGTGTTAGCGAGATTGTGCACGAAGAGCGGTGGAAGGGACGTACGTTTGTGGTCATGTTTTGGGCGGTTGTGCCGTTGGTGCAGAGGGGGGAAGTGCTGGTGGTTATTGGCTGGGATATTTGAGAGCTGGACGTAGATGCTGGTAGTGAGATTGAGGTATTTGGCTGTATCATTGGTGGAGAGGGTGGTGGTATGGGTGTAGATACCGGAGGTATCGTGGTCGAAGTATTTAATTGTATTATCGGAGGACGAGGGGGAGTAGTAATAATAGACCCCACCACCGCAGCCAAAGCCTGAGACGAACCAACGATCGCCGGCGTAATCATGGGAGCCGTAGGTCCACCCAAAGGTGAAACATTCGTAGCATTTGCCTGAGCCGGCGGCGTTAGAAGGCTCGACCCATCATCCGGGAAGTACTCCATCGTGGGCGAAGACGTTGCATTCGCCAGAGTCGGCGGCGTCAGCAGCGAGGATCCATCGTCTGGGAAGTATTCTCCTGTCGGAGAAGAAGGCGGAGCCGTAGGTCCAGCTGTTGATGGGAAGACGGTGGCATTGGCCTGCGACGGCGGTGTCAACAACGACGATAGGGGAAAATATTTTCTGGTTGAGGAAAAGCCAATTGTGGTCGTGCTTATCGGTGTGTCGGTGACGACCGTGTAGAGGAAATAGCTTGAAAAGTGTCTGTCGGTCTGTTTTGCGAAACCGGATCCTGTAGCTCTGAAGCCGTGTGAGGAGCCTGAGCCGAATGGAAGCGTTTGGTTGCTAGTGTTGCGGTAGGGATATGGGGCTATGATTGGGGTGCTGGTGATGATTGGCAAGACGAAGGGAGAAGTTCGTTCAGCGACTGGGCTGCTCTGATATTTTGCAGAAAAGGTTGTTGGTCCAGTCGCAGTAGTGGAGCCCAGATTAGGGATGACAGGCAATGTGGCGTTTGCGATTGGAACCGCACCGCCTGTAGATAGGGGCACCACGAGATTCGGTGTAGTCACAAATGGAGGTACAGTGGGAGGCGTAGAAGCGTTGTCAGAGGCTGGTGCAATTGGTGTGTTTGAAAGCTGCGCGTTTGGAGCAGGGACAGGAGCGATCTGGGGATTCGATGCGTTACTGGGACTCGGACAGCTAGGAACCTGGTTCGCTGTCACCGTCATCCATACTGTCACAGTCGTTAACTGCGTTTGCGGAGTCACAGTGACCGTCACTGTTTCTGTCTGCGCCTGAGAAGTTATCGTAATCGTCTCCGGAGCTGGGGTTATAGTGACAGTTTGTGCTGGCAGAGTAGTCGTCTTTGAAGGCAGTGTAACCGTTTGCTGAGGCGGACATTGATTCCCCGATCCACTCTGACCATTCTCGCCATCCCCATTGCCCTGCTTTGTATATGGCGATGTAGCGTTCTGATACGGCGCTCCCTCGGTTGGATACGGCTCAACGGCGCTGCTTCCGAAGCTGCTACCGGTGTTGGCAGTGCCCGAGGGTACAGGGAACCATCCTGAGCCCGTCGCAAAGCTATTACCCAACGGTGTCCTCAAGCTACCGGAGGAAGCCATGCTTGGGTAACTGGTACTCTTAGTCGGGTTGGGGGAGAAACCCTGAGGTCGGAGTTGGCTAAGAGATTGAAACTTTTCGTCGTTCTTCTTGTTTGGCGCGCCATCGGCCAGCATAGAGAGACATGTTGCTAGTAGCAGCAGTATGGTAAGGACAGACATCATGGCTCTCCATTGAAGAATTGACGAGAGCACATAGGAACGTAATCACAAACAGAACAGAAAAGACTGTGATCGATAATGACAAAAAAACCATGAAATCAGCTTGACAGGGTTCAAAGACATTTAGATAGGAGAATCGCATCAAAGGCTCCGACCATGATCCTTTCATCTGACATAGGTAGCAACAGCATTGGTTCCTCGCGCACGTATCACGAACTACCCGAATGGTGAAGGGCACGCTCCGTACCTCTCCTTGGATTTGCATGTGCATAACCCTCATGACGCTTGGAGCGCATAAGTGGATGAAGATGTTACAGGACAGATGACGAAACACTGGTTTGGCAAATGTCTGTGGGGAAATGGGAAGGAGAGTCAAAGCACATTTTGAAGCGACGCCAGCGCCAATTGTGGCTGCTGTGGCTCGGAAGCTACAAAAGTGGAGCTTTTTGGCAGTCTGGTTAGGGGCGTAAATTGTTTCCACCCATGCTTTCGAGATATTCCTGCATCAACAATCTATCATGAATTTAGCTTGAGCATGTACTATTCTACTGTGGAGCAATGAGGCTTGCGCCTAGCCAAAGGGCGCGCAATAAAGGGGGTTTATGGAAGAAGATAAGTCCACCATGATTCGACACCAACGATCCAGTCCAGACCAGAGAATAGTGACCCGCACCACTTCTACTCTTGCGAGGAACGCTCCAGCTGCGCTGCACACGTGTTGTTGGACCAACCCAGGCTCAGGTTGTCCATGTACCAGTCAACGGGCGTGGTTCCAACCGTCGCGATGATTTGAAGCCCCGTCAAACCGCGGAAGCCGTCAGCAAACTCCACTAACGCCAAAGAGCAATTCTTCATTCCTGGGCAGGGGGCTTGGGTAAATCCCTGAGTAATGACACTGAATATAGACCAGTTCTGATAGCCTTTGACCATGATGCTGCAGTCTTCGGGGCCAGGATTGGTGCAGCCAAGATAAGCTGAGTAGGCATCGATCCAGTAGGCACTATCCGATGCCCTCGGTCCACTACCAATCTCACCAGACATTTCGACCTATAAGATTTCCGGGTCAGCATTCCATCTTCAAGGCGAAAAACCGAGCAATGACAGAGCCCGAACGGGTACCGAGAGTCTTTTGCTCGCGAAACATGTCTCGCGACTCGTAGTGTGGTCCAGGATAAGAGAGATTTGCTCCAAGAATCTACATACCCCCGCGTCTGGTGAACCGGTCGCCCCTGTCCCGTCCGCGCGATATACTGCGAGCTGTGGAGGCGAGATAGGTGGAAAAGGATCAGATGGAGGAGGAACGTATCCGAAGTACTCTTGGAAGAATAGCTTATGGTAGGGATTGAAGATAGGAGGGATATCTGTGTCCTACACAGATTTTGGAGTTAGCGTTTTTCCTTCAAGGCAGAGTCTCGAGCCAGAAGAGAGCTCGAAGGGGTGTTAAGAGCGTCTTTGCTCCTGGAACATTGTTTTGCAACCCGAAAGTGCTTCAATAAAGGAAGACGTGGGCTCAGAAGATATACATACCCCAGGACCTGCCGAAAAAGCTGGTAAATCGTCGAAGTCTATCATGAACTGAGCGGATGCATCACCACATGAAGAGGCAATGGCAGTGGCCGCGGTTCTCGAGGCTGTCGAAGTGTTTGAATACAAGGCATGGCTCGTGGTCAGCTGAGCTCCAGACGACGAAGACGTGCTTGTTGGGAAGGGAGTAGGGATCGGGTCCCACGCATAGACGCCGACCGTAGTGGTTGCACCCGTGGGAGAACTGGATTCTGTTTGCACTGGGCTAGAAAAGGTGCTAGAGGTCGCTTGAAAACGTGTTAGTTGATGCTCAGTTCACAGCCTGGGGAGCTTACGAGAAGATTTTGGCTCAGATTGTAGTGCTGTCGCTGTGACTGGGACAGCAATTGGTGATGTATCTGAAGATGACGGAAATGTGCCATCATAGTTGTTGGTCCAGGAGACAGCCACACCATCGATGGTTGCGACGACGATATCTGTAACATCCCTAGCCTTGATTTGATGGGTTGCGTTGCCAGGAGAAAAAGACACAATACCGGAAGTTGGAATAATGACTGATCCAATAGCAAGGGATTTGACCGTGATCAACGTCGACATGCTCGAGTTCCAACCGTGAGATGCAAGTCCAGTGTACGCTCCGGCTGAGGCAAAAGCAGTGAAACTGGCCAGCGTCTGGGTTTCGGTACGAGTTTCGGTAACTGTCTTAGTGGAGGAAAGAGTCAAGTAGCTTGTGACGGGAGTGATCTCGACGGGAGGAGCAACATAGCCGGGAGGAACTGGCTGCAGAGTGACGATCTGAGTGCTAGTGATCAGGGAAGCCGAAGCTGGTGGTGTTGCACCGAGCCAGGTCGTGGTACCATTGTCCTCGATGAAAGAGTAAGCTGCTTGACCTTCGACTGGCGAGGAAGCCTGGATGACGCTGATGACCTGAGTGGAGATTACGGAGGCGGTGACGGTCGTTGTGATTGCAGTCGAAGTTACTTGTGCAGCTCCGTTGACCATAGCTTTGATGTCCGCAGTGGCCATTGGCCCATTGCCAAGAGCGTAGATTGTCTCGGTAGTTGGCGAAGCAGGTACGGTGACAAATACCGTTGACAGGGGGCTGCAAGAGCCGTTTCTGGAGATTCGAGGTCAGTGTCACTCGTCGCAGGTAAGTTACACAACGCGTGATCCTTCCACAGAAAGTTTCAACGAGGACGTGATGTCCTCATACAGTGGGCTAAGGATATCGATATCGTGCTGAGGATACTTACTCTGCAGTGGCAGCAGCAGCACTGATGCCAACCAGGAGGAGTGGCTTAAGAGAACGCATCTTGGTAAGGAGGCAAGTGGTAAATAATCTAGGAAAGATGGCTGTACTTTGCTGATACAACGAGTGTGATTGACTTCTTGACGCAAACGAGTGTAGGTAGATGTGATTGAAAAAGAAGGTGAGGTGATGCTGGTGTCGAAAGTTTTAAGGAGTTCCGTTATTTTTGTTGATCAAAGCAACCGCGCTAGTGCTGGCCAGTAACGGCTATTCACAGCTATGGTAAGAGCGGCCTGCAAATATCGCGCATACTGGCGTGAGTGAATTCTTTGACACTCCACTGGAGTAGAGTCCCTCTATGCATGACTTTTGATAAACTCTCTTACAATTTTACACACGGGGCGGAAAGGATTTCAATCATGAAGTGCTCTCATACAGAATAACACTGACATGCTTTTTGTAAGAATCTTTTTAGCAAGCATTGTGTTGCAATTCGATACCAACCATATATGGGATATGAAACATGGGTATTTGTGATGTTGGGGGGAGCCTTGGGTTGGCTATATCCCAGCCATCAGCGACGGTATAAGGAGAGTCTGCCAATCTTGTCAACCGAACATAGGATCGGCCCTCCTACCACGATGCCGGGTGTGGCAAATAGTCCTCGATTCTAGAATTGCGTACAGGCAGAATATCCCTGGATTAGATGGGGTTCAAGCAGAGCAAAAGGAATTATCCGAATGGTTTAGTATGGTTTTGTAGGATTGGGGTTACATTTACGTAGGTTGGTAAAGCTATTCTGACGCGCTGGCTATCTCTCCCTCGTGCAGGAATTCATTTAGATCTCTCATTGAACATGACGTGCCAGAAGAGGTGCTCCCATCGCTCTCGAGCTTCTTCGAATTGGGAGAAGCCTCTGCAATCAACGGCGAATTGTATACAGTCGTCCCCGAGGTTGACGTCCTGTTTCTTGTTTGACCTGATTCTGAGAATCGGAGAGAATGGCGAGGACCCAATTCTGTAGAAGGACAGTAGTCGGTGCTTTCCATGGGCAGGTCTTCGTCTGAGCATTCAATCGCGATCAGCGGCTCTGATCTGGTGGTTGTCTGAGCATGATTGGTGGAATCCTGTGAAGCCTCAGCACTGGTCAGGATTTGTTCTCTTCCTGCTGATGCTCTCGATGGAGCTTCGTTGTCGGGAGCCTGCTGTCCAAGGGAAAGCCCACTGCCCTGAATCATCGTCGTGATCTGGGTACGTCGACTTAGCTGGCTCGAGTCCCTGGAGATGCTAGAAGCAGCACGTTGATAATCCAGACGTTTCCCAGTACCTTCACTCAAAGCAAAGATTGACGACCGGCTGCGCCTTCCCGAACGAAAGACTCTCCATCGTTTGATGACAAATTCCTTGACAGGCTGAACAAAGACGGGATGATCTTCTGATCTCAACACGGGCTCTAGTGACCAACGGTGACCATCATCACTTACAGTTCGCACTCGCAGGCCGCGCATCGCTTTGAGAACGTTCTTCTGCTCGACCCTACCATATGGGTTTAATGCCTCTGATCGGGGACCAGAAAGCCCAGTTAGAACTCGATGTGAAGAAGCTGACTTCAAGCGGCGTCGGTAGCGTGAAGGTAAAAAGCGACGTCGTTCAGGCTCCTCTCCAGATAGCTCGCTATGACGGCGCCGTTTCGTGTCAATGCTCTCCTTGGCGGCTCCGTCTTCTCTCTGTCTCAAACGTCGGTTGAGTGAGACTTGTTCTGCTAGAAGTGATTCTCGTGACAGCGCATCATCTCTCTCAGGCCACAATGACGCAGTTGAATTGTTGCGAGCTTGATGGCCAAATGCTGGTGAATGCTTCCATTGCGTGTGCTGTCTCAAACTGCTCACAAGTCTTGTATTGAGCCAATTGTCATCATTCTGATTCGTTTTGTGGTCACAGGTAAGGGGCAATGTCAGGGTGTCCATGTTTTGTGGTGTTGGGAAACTTCGCGCAAGCATTTGTACAGAGATTATCTGCGCAAGAACACACTTCCACAGATCGTCATCGCTCGCCAGTCCGGTTGGTTCTCGTGCGTCCCAAGAAGAGAGACATAGAACAAAGGCTACCCACTAGAATCAGCATAACATTAGGGGCTGCAACCGCACAAGGTTGGACAGTATTCTCACACGTCTTATTCCCAGGCAGGTTCGTAGACATCCAGCTCCAATCACGCCAGTCTACCACTTCCTTGTGTATTATATCCAACACACTGTGGCCCATGTGGGAGCGTAGGCCAGGATATGCCTCTTGCAATATAGTTAAAGCAGCATATGCAGTCGATGGATCATCGCTCGAGGTAGTGATTTAGTCGTTGTTGATAGCCAAGAAAGGTCTAGCCATATACAAGGACACGTGGTTGTGTAGTCGTTCCGCGGGGGGATTCGCCGCAGTTCCTCAGTTGTGAGTCCGAGGCCGATGTACTCTACTGCTATGCCACAGGGATTGGGTTCTTGAAAGCTGGATTGTCGCAGAGTGATAGCATAGGTATTCGGTAAGGGTTCGGAAATAGATAAGGAATGCTGAAAGGTGAGAGGAAAGAATTTTGGTTGTTAAAATCATCATGTCTGGAAGAAAGGTCTAAGGTATCTATCTACTCTATGTACTGCGATGGCTCCTGCCAACTAGGTACTTTACCCACGAGCATCCTCAGCTACTTTGCGATCCCAGATCGAGCGACGTACATTAGCGCCTTTAGCTACAGCAAGGTATTTGTAATTGCTTAAACAAAAGCCCCTCAAACACTAGCGGATCTGTGGTTTGAAGCTCTCCTTGCAGTATAAAGGCCCGTGAATGTTGGGGTGGATGCCACATTACTTTGTGCATAACTTCTAAATTACACTAATTGCTGCACTATGATGCAGTGGCTAGCATAATCTCAATGGTGGATTGGGTCTTGAATGGTTTCGCTTCCTAGAGCCAATCAACTTGCGAACAGTATCTTCTGCCACACAAATTTTGCCAATCATAGGCCCCTAGGTTCTACTCAAACCCTGGGCCTGGGTCCGGTTCGGTGGTCCCCAAGTATGCAGCCAGCCGAGGATAACCAGGTCCTGGTACAACTCAGATCAGACATCAGCGCTTCTGTACATCAACGAGGAAAGCTCGATCAGTGTACTTCAATGTTCAGATAAGAGGCCATATGTCGAGTGGCCTGAGCGTTCAAGAAGGTTTTGCGTTCTCGTCGTGGCGTAGAATCTGGAACAGCAGCCTTCTCCTGCCGGAGGCCGAGATGAACATTCTCGGCCATAGGGGCCACACCCACACAATTGCAACATCGGCTGAATACATAAGCGACGGGTCTCATGGCGTTGTCGAGTTTTGCGGGCATATTCGGCGGCATCTTAGATAATGCCGTCTGTCCCGATTGCATCTTGCGTATTATGTCCGCAAAAATGAGTCCCCACTTTCAACAATGGATGGAAGTGTGGATTCTAGCCAGTTTATGAAGCAGCTGCAGGCCAGAGACGCGAGTCCACCACCTCACATATGCTGAGTATTCATCTGAAGCTGGTCTTGATGACGTTCGAGGGATCGAATTCCCTTTTGAAGACCTCAAGATCAGTCAGGCCGCTTTTCGAAGTACCATTCGAGGCACTCTCCAAGACGAAAACTATGTTAGAGAAAGCTCCTTGGAATTCAGATTCGCAGAAGAGAAGTTCTCTCCACATGCTTGCTACCTGGACCGCTGGGTTGCGAAATCCAAAACCAACACCAAAAGACCCAATGCATAGATCCGGATGCTGCCGCAGGGCAGCAATCCTGAGTACTGTCCTCATTTTTTCTTTCATCAGCTCTCGTTCTTGGCTGAAGGAGTAATCTGCGCCAGACTCGTCAAGTTTGGGGCGCCGAATTGGTGCAACGGAAATGATGGGTAAGACCTTCCAATCCTTCCACATAGAGTAGTTTTTGTCAGCTCCAGAGCGAAAGACTACTGTACTCATATGTCAGCATAAAAGGTCAACGGGGCAACATGTACGGGAGAGCAGCGTACCGACATGAGGAGAATAAATCCCACCAGTTGTTCGAATTGGGTAGTGAGGGACCTGGGCAGATGTATGGCTAGGCGTTGTTAGAACCTTGGCGAGGTTCGAACGTCGGCAGAGGCATTCCTCTGGAGCTATGAGACCAGACTCCCAGTCACCTCCAGCCCGTTTCTCGTTGGCCATGCTGACCACGGGTATTGCTCCCAGCTGCTTGGAAGATCCGTTCGCTTTGAAGTTTGATTCGTCCCAGTCCAAGGCTGCATCAACCGGATCGCCAGTAATGACTGCTACACGAAGCTTGTGTCCATAGCCGGCTCGTGGGTTGAGATGAAACTTGGATGAGTCCGGATATGAAATGGACACAGGAGGAAATTGCGGCAACTGAGATTGAATGTAAGGAGTGTAAGTTTTCTTGGCCTCGGAAGCAATCTCCGAGGGTTTTGCTTTTGCCTGAGGCATGTTCCAGGAAGAAGAAACACAGCTGATATCGAGGGTGTGAATTGAGATGGCAATCCGCTAAAAGGGTAGGGGGAGCAAGAAATCGGCAAGAGGGGAACTGGTGTGCAAGCAATAGAGTTCAAACAGGACTGGAGTCAGGGCCAAGAGTGTATGTAGGATCGCAGTATAGACAACAAGAGATGAGATGAGATGAGATAGCACAAGTGGAAGTTGTAGCGGATAAAAGGAAAAGTAGCCATGGCCATTAATTTGCTTCTATGGCTGAGTGCCGTGTGAAGATGGTTTCGGCCGACGTGGAATGCCTGAACTACCATGGAAAGGGAGGTATGTGACCAATCGCAAGGATACGGCTGGATGCTTAGGATTAGATGTGAATCTGTCATGAGCAAATGAATTCAAGCCACGATACGCGAGAGCTCAGACGATTTCGATTCTTCCCAGTCGTGATGAGATCATAGCAGTGCGATCGTTCCATTGCCGCTGCCCAATAGCGGTGAGAGAATGGCGGATGGAGCGACTTAAGTGCAAGATGGATCTGGATAGATTCACGGGAGGGTGTCTTCCCCGTTCCACGATCCTGCGGTGTGTCATTTAGCCAGATGAAACCGACCAACAGCTTCCCTCGAGATCGGTGGGATCGACTTGCTTTCTTTGGAGCTCTCGGGGGGGGGGGCATGGGCGCTATCATTCCTACAGGTGCCACAGTTTCCTTCACGCTGCCTCTATTCGTCCAAGTTCCGAGGTTGGATGGAAAAAGGGGTTCAAAGCTTTCAAGGCTACAAGGCCTGGGCCCTTCCAGCGCTGGGAGGTACCGACAGCCGCTAAATAGACTTTTGTGTCATCTCTCCCCACAGGCGATGAGATGAAGTCCCAACTACTTTACTCGCCTGCTCACTGTCTAATGATCTACCACTCACGTCGGTAGATCTGAATACTCCAGGGCAAGGTCAGCAAGTAATTAGATAAATCAAAAGTTCCTGCGGTGAATATACATGTGCCGTCTAAAAATTAAAAAATGGAACGGCCTTGGTAGTTACCGAAAACTGTATGGAAAAGCCTTTCGGCAGTTGACGAAACAATAGCTGCCAACGGATGCTTGTCAGCTGTAGGATATCGAGCAGGCATATGATGAAATGCTTCTTGTGCACTTCCAAGATTATGAGAACAATGCCTCCAATATGTTGGAGTTTGCATATTTCACTCTTTCGAGCTTGACGTGTGACAGTTCGAGCGAGGTTCGTCAGCCGCCCGACCTTCCTTCATCCATATGCGCGTAAGGCTGCATGAAATATTGCATGAGATTTTTACTAGCTCCCTCGCCCTCCATTCCGACTCGTTCTCGATTCTCCAATCTCCAATCTCTTCCACCCCCTGCTTTACCAAGATTTGTCAACCGCTGAACTCCTACGACATCCTGCAGCATCCACCAAGAACGCGAACATCTCAATCTGGCTGATGCTCACGATATGGCGTTGCGTTCGCCTATCACCTCTGTTTTCAAGACCGACAATTACACTTCCTCCCACTCATGTGCGCATGCGGCGTCTGTCTGCTTTTCCCACGGCCAGTCCCAACGTAGCCACCATCCTGGCGACTCCACCACGACATGGCGGCCATCTAATCACGGTGGAAGGCTCAATCAGAACTATTCGAAACCAGAAACAACGCTCATTCGTTGAACTCGGCGATGGGTCTACGGCATATTCCTTACAAGCTGTGCTAGATCCTCAATTGGCTGAAGGGCACGTCCAGTGACTCTGTCCCCCTCCCTGCAGCACAAAACTAACGGTGCTCGGACTGTACAGCTTAGGCACGGGGACTTCAGTGGCCATCACGGGTACATGGCAGGCTGCTCCACCGCACAAGGAACAACCGTATGAATTGAAGGCGAAGGCGGTGAACATCATCGGTACAACGGATGCAGAGGTAGTCGACCCACCCTGAATTGATCTGCGGTACCTGCGTTGTGGCTTTTGCGTTCGTGTCAGGGTAGAGGCGCTGACAAATTCAATCACGCAGAAGTATCCCATCCAAAAGAAATACCATAGCGCCGAATACCTCCGAACGATTCCACATCTTAGGCTGCGGACTCCGGTGAATGCACTGCTCGCACGGTTGAGGTCTGAGTGTGACTACCACCTAGCTAGCTATTTTAGAGATCGGCATTTCGTTCGTGTGCAGCCACCCATCATAACTTCGTCCGACTGTGAGGGGGCCGGCGAGATCTTCACGGTATCTGCAAAGCCATCTAGTAGCCGAGGGGAAGATGAGATTGAGGCTGCAGCGAGGGCGAAGGATGAAATGTTCAAGGATCCAAAGTTCCTGACCGTTTCTTCTCAGCTACACTTGGAAGCTTTCATACACGAGCATCAGAAAGTCTGGACATTGTCTCCAACATTTCGGGCAGAAAAAAGCGACACTCCGCGACATGTGGCTGAGTTTTGGATGCTGGAAGCGGAAATACGGACCGAAAGCCTAAGAGATGTCATGAATCTGGTTGAAGACATGATCCGAGATCTAGTGGGCAAATTACAGGAAGCGGGCTTCATGGAAGAGATCTTATATGCCAATCGAGGAGCGAAGTCTGCTGACGCTGAAGGCACGCAATTCCCACAATTACTTCGCAAACGTTGGCAAGGGCTTATGCAATCACCCTGGCCTCGAATTACCTATGAAGACGCAATCAAGCGCCTTGAGGATGCGGTCGAGTCAGGGAAAGCAACGTTTGTGTACGAGCCATCCTGGATCACTGGCTTACAGCTGGAGCATGAGAAGTTCATTTCTACAACCTTCGGCCAAGGCAGCCCGGTGTTTGTGACTGACTATCCTCGGGAGACCAAGCCTTTCTACATGCTCCCGTCATCACTGGAGGATGGTGTTGAACCAACGCAAAACAAAACCGTCGCCTGTTTTGACCTCTTACTGCCTGAGCTATGTGAAGTAGTTGGAGGATCAATGCGTGAACATCGTCTACAACAACTCTTGAAGTCAATGCATAGCCATGGTCTGAACTTTTCAGCGGCAAGCGGGGTTGGTCAAACCATAATGAATTCTGATGTGTCGCCTTCCAGTGAGAAGGGCAATCTCGACTGGTATGCCGATCTCCGTCGATACGGTAGCGTTCCTCATGGCGGATTTGGACTCGGTTTCGATAGGCTATTGGCTTACCTTTCTGGAATCAGCAACATCAAAGATGTCGTCCCCTGGCCCCGCTACCATGGTCGTTGTGATTGCTGATCCTTTGCACATGGGTAGCTGTCTACTATCTACCCTTTCGACAACTTCACCTCCTTACCCAATACCGCAGTCCGAGAGTTCCAGTCTCCATTCCATCATTCCCCAATGGATCAATAATATTGCCATTGTCTCAAACTTCAGCGGCGCTGTGCTACTGCTCAGGAAAGGGGAAGGAGCTCGGTTGCGGAACCTTCCCGCATAGAGGAGTCACGACGGCTTCGCTCGGGATGCATGTCTAGACACTCGCAGCGCTGAGATCTCGATCTTCGTAGAGCCTCCAAGGCGCCAAATGTCAAGGCGGAATGGGCACAATGTTGGCGACAAATCCGCCTACGGAGGAGAAGCGCCTCCTGCTCCTCGGCATTTCTGACCAACACGAGGGGTGGCCCACTAGAGTATTAGGTACCGAAGACTCATGCAAGCCACCACTGAGCGGGAAAGTGGCAACGTTGCGCCAGTTCGTGTTGCAGAACTGGAAGCTTGGCAGTCATCGCGCAAGTGTTACTCTTCTTGTCTCGAAGATGGCAAAGTTGATGGAAAAGGTGTGGGTGCAGACCGTGCCGCGGCTTTGCATGGAGTGTGAGAAGGAGTGACAAGAAATAACGGTACGGAAGATATGCATATCGTGTGGTTGAGCGGCAGAAAAGCTTGGCGGTACTCTAAAAGTTACCTTCCATATTCCCGGGCGGCATATTATATGACTATTCTTATTATTAAATTGCTGCATTTGCACCATCGCCCTTGCCCTTGCGATTGCCAATTGCGAGACCGCGCAAGACTTGATGTCCGTGATGGGTTTGGCCCGATTCGTGGGTTCATTACTTTACATACGGGATTATGGTGATGTCGTATTCTCTGGGGGGGGGGGTCATCTAATCATTATTGGTAGTGAAAGTAAGGCCGGCTACAGCGTTGCGAATGAAGCTTACGTGGCTTGAAGAGAAAAGCCAAATCTCAGACGGAGCATGATTCCCGTATGGCTAGTACGAGGATTGTGTGAAACCCAGCTGTTACGCTGTCCGTCGCCGTTGAAACATGCATATTAATATACTTTGCTTTTTCCTGCATGCTTCTCGTATCTGATTGATGAACTTTGAAACCTTAAACCGCTCGGTCCATGAACATTGAGAAGCAAAAAGCCAAGGGGTTTGTTGGCCAAGATCTTGCTTCCCAAGTCGGCCGCATGCATGCATGGCACCCTTGGAGTTGGCAGGAAGAAAGTACTGGCGGAGAGGATATGCACTCGGCAGAAAGCAGCTCTTGACAGGGGGGTAGCGTCGGTAAAATATAAGGTTCCGTGGCGTGTCGATTAACCTTACTCCACAAGTTGACCAAAGGCCACGGAGCCTCGAGGCGGTCCAACGAACCAAAAAGAAAGACTTGCAGGGCTCACACATGGCGGACCATAACTTATCAGTCATACATTAATCAACATGTACTATCAGCGACTAAGTACCGTATACATATCCTATGTCTCGGATCTCGTCGCTGCCGCTGTTTGGCGATTGGCTTGAACAGAATCAGGAACAGCGTAGTCATAAGGGAGGCGGGGAGATTGAGAGAGAGAAATGGAATTGTAAAGGCGTGCATCAGAATTAAAAGGGGAATGAGACGTCATTTATGATGGATGTGTGTGGGTGATATGGGGTGGGTGTGTCGGTGTGTCGGTGTGTCGGTGTGGAGAGAGTGTGGAGGGTGTGAGTTGGTGAGTGTGTGACAAAGGGGCCAGATGTGTAGAATCGAAATGGGCAGCTGGATGCTCGGAGTTGATAGGTGTTTGATCAAGGTTGAAAAGGGGTTGGTGAGTGTTATTATTCCAGTAAAGGATCTCACTTAATCCTTGGCTTTTCTGTTTTAATAACACCCTCGCTTCTCGCATCTCGATCCTGCACTGCACTCATACCTTCTCATGAATGAGGGAAAGTATTGCGAGGTGCTTACCTTTAAATAAGTACATTTTTTCAATAATCATTACTCTACATGTTGCAAAGCCTCTCAATCACAATACTTTAGACTGTTTCACCATCTTCCTTCATTATATCTCCAACGTACGCAGAAACGGGTAGTCTCTGATTGGACTCGGTAGACTTGGTAGCAGCTGGGTAGAGTTTTTAAGCGGCATGCTCGGAAATGCTAAATCCTAACCTTCGTCACTAATTTACCTTACCACTACTACTAACTACTTACCTAACTTACTAACCAAAAAACTTACGCGCGGTACTCAAAAAAAAAGCTTCCATCATGCTATCAACCCATGCAAACTGAATCATCATCATCACCATCATCATCAACATCAGTAAAGGTACCAGTGCCAGTTGCACCAACAACAACATTTACACCACACTCACACATCATTCATCGGCGTCTCAGCTCCGATCCTTTTCCACAGTTCTCCGCGCCGCTCAGGCTTCCATCCTGCTCTGCACACCTCCTCCACGCCCCTCCGGAACATCACTCATACCATCCACACCGACCTGAACACAAATTTTCTCCTCAAGCCCATATCGCAAAGTGGAGTTTCGTCGAAGCTTATTCACCCAAGGCTCCCTTCTTCTTAATCATAATTCAACGGTCAGCCCGAGATATATTACTGTATGCCGAATGATCTTTAAGATTAATCTGACCTCCGTCCGTTGAAGGTAAGCTTTGCGACTGCCTCCCTGCGCCTTACATCCTACATCCTACACCCTCGCCCACTTCCAAATCTTCCGCCCTGTGTTACATCTCATGCACCGGATGCCCCCTTTCCACATATCTTACCCAACTGCACGCTGCGCAACCATATTCTCTTCCTACACATTGCTATTTCTCATGCGACGCAACCTTCTACTACCCTCATGTCCGCTGTATACACAACAAAGTCAACATAGAATCTCTACTGATGGACCCCGCCAGTTTTCACCGGCCACTTGCTTACCTCGATGCAAAACCGCACCTCGCAGCCTCGCGAACAAGTCCCAATTTAGGGGAGATACCCCTAAAGCGAAAGCGCTCCTGGGAGGACCCACCCAAGCCAAGGCTGGCAGCCCCATCGATACCCACCATTTCTACCTTCTTAGATATGGAAACATACAACGGGCACGTGCGGACCCCCGCAGATGCGATAATACTATTTGAGGCCTGTCGCCTGGGCCTTTTACCTAGAGTCCAGCGAAGATTGTCTGAAAAAGAGCGCCAATCCATCAAGTCTGGCTCCGTCTTCGTCTGGGATGAACGTGAAGCCGGTATGCGAAGATGGACCGACGGGAAATCTTGGAGTGCCAGTAGGGTGTCTGGAAGCTTTCTTACATACCGGGAAATGGAGGGCAAACGTGGTGGCAACAGCTTTGGACCGCCTTTGGCTGCCGTCTCAAGAGCTGGAAAGACTCCTGATAGCACTCGCGGTAGTGACTCCGATCTGGATATGGGTGGAGATGATGGACCGGATGGGTATCGATACAAGCCAGACGGCTTGATGAAGCAGTCCTTCAGCATAACGACTTCCTCGGGCAATCACCTCCATCTCATCAGCTACTACTCGCGCTCCCATCCATCTGCTTCAGGCCTCACAAGTCCTACAAGCGATCCGGCATTGCGGCATATTCGTCCACAAAAGGGAATGTACCCCGAATCGACCGTTCATGAGCATCAAAATATCCCCGCCGTGACTCGGTCGCCGATGGTCAGCGCACCATACTCAACTGTCCCTCAGATGGCAGGATATGCTCGACAAGGACCTCCTCAATGGCCCCCACACTACAATGGTTACAATTGGACGCCTCCGCCTCCGGTGCAACAGGCGGGCCCACATTATGGCTACCAGCAGTATAATGGAGGTGGTGCCGTATACGCACCCCCACCGCCGATCAACGGTCATTCACCTCTTCAGAACTCTCAATCGGCTCAACAACCTCCACCCACAACGCAGTCATACGACCCTCATTACCAAGCGTACGACCAAAGAAGATACCCTTCGATGCCATCTTCTGTGCATCCTGATATGTCTGGCTACGACCAACGGCAAGGTCCCCCTACAACACCACAACAGCGACCCATGGACAAGTATGCGCCGCCTCAAGATATCTACAACGGCTATGATCCAAGGTACCCTCCAAATCAAAATCGCAATCCTCCCACGCCCTCAGACAGCAACCTTGCGCCTCCGCAACAAATTCACAGCCGCAATGGGACCTCCGCGAATGGGATGCAGCAGTCACAGTCACAATATCGTCATCCTTCCCCACACATGTCGCAACCTCCGCCAAACGGTCAACAGCAGCAGGCTCAGCAGCTTATCTCGTCGTCCACTCCTATCGACCCGCGGTTGATGGGTTCTTCGCCGATGATACAGCAACAGTCACAACCAAACCTTCATTCCCGGACGTCAACTCCTGGAGCTCATGCACAGCTCCAGGAAGCTGCCGAGGCCGTCCAAACCCACGCCAACGGCACGAATGGCGCAAGCACGATCCCAAGTATTGGCGCCATCATGAACGGCACTTCTGCCGAGAGCCACAACAGCCCAAACGCAGATGCGAAGAGCGACAGATCCGGTGATAAAACCCCCGGTGGATCCGTGAAGAAGGAAGGTGGACCGCAGGACATTCCCAGTGACAAATTGGGTTTTGGTGAAGATATGAGGGCGTTGAAGGTTCTGGATCGGGCATTCAAGACATAATGAGGCATCGCAGATCATCACAAAGGAGGCAAATACATTGTGATGGTCAACGGGATTGCATTGAGAAGTTTGAATTCATGAGGCACGTGCCAGCCGATTCTATCGAAGCGCACTATCGAACTGTTACAATCTGTATTATTCAAGAGGCGGTGTTATTTGAAATGGGGCTTGCATGCATTGCAGAAGATATCACGGTTTGAGGATGGACAACGGAAAAAGGGAAAAGGGAACGGGAGAAAGTATCCTACGAAGGGTTTGCGGGGATGCATTACCTCTGCTACCATGCTATTTGCTCCTTTTTCAACAACAACATGATGAGACGGGCTCCTACGATAGAACGTTCGGCTCCTGCTCACGCATGCATCAAGAATGTAATTTTCATACCTATGATACCTCTCGACGTTGATCTGATTCATCCGCGTCTGGATAGTCAAACATGTATACTCTATACGTTTTGCCCAAAATCAACTAAAGGGATGGGTATCTCAACACGAATCCTCTTTTTTTCCCCAAGCCCGATCGATACCCTTTCCTCTCCCTCACGCCCTCCCCTCCCCCACCCCCCCACCCCCCTCCTCCACCGTAGCAAGCATCTCATACTCCCCTCCCCCCCCGGGTCCCCCCCCCACCTTCCCTCCAGCACCGGCACCAGCACCAGCACCAGCACCACCACCGAACGAAATCGGCCTCAGCTCCCGCCACCGACAGCCCCAGACCCCGCCCGCGACCATGAGGCCGGCGCTCGCGGCCTGCAGGGCCCACCAGAGCCCGTGGGCCGGCACGGACCGCGAGTAGAGCGACGTGGCGAGCAGGTGCACGGCGTGCAGCGTGAGGGCGAAGTCGGGGACGAGCTTGGAGCGCGCGACGACGAGGGCGAGGAGGATGACGCTGCGGGGGGGGGGATGGGTTAGCGGGGGTGGTATGGTGAGTGAGGGAGGGAGGGGGAGGGGGGGGAGGGGGGAGGGAGGGGGGGGGAGGGAGGGAGGGGAGGGAGGGGGGGAGGGGGATGAGGGAAGATGATTCCGTTCGGGGAACAACGCTCTCGACGCTTGCTTGGACGGAACGAACCCCGCCCAGGATTTCTCCGTGGAAAGGTTGGGAGTATCTCTCCACGTGAAAGAAAGAAAAACGAAACAACAGAAAACAAACACCACCCCAACGCCGACTCACCCGCACAGACTGCCCCCGAGCCAACACACGCCCAGCGTCCAGCCGCCCGCCGTGTCCCCCCGCAGGCCGCGCCAGCCGAGCACCAGGTCCGGCGAGAAGGGCCGGCCGGCCGTCAGGGCCGCGAAGAGCAGCAGGCCCGTCACGCAGAGGTAGTAGAGCAGCTGCAGCGTCACAATCTGCGTGAGGATGCGCAGCGGCGAGTGGGCGGGGCGGGGCCGGCGCGGCATTTTTTGTGTTTGTGTGTGTGTTGTTTGGTTGGGAGGTGATGGGTTGGATGGGATGGGATGGATGGGTGGGTGGGAGAGGTGGGTGTGGCTGGTTATCGTGGTCGCATTGTTTGTTTGTTGTTTGTTGTTGTTGTTGTCGGTGGTGGTGTGGGCTTTCGGATTGACTGGAAGAGGTTGATTCGGATGGGGGAAAAGGGGCGGAGGAGAAGAATTCGTGAGGCTGTGTTCTCGAAAAAACTCTGCAATACGATTCGTCTCCAAAATGAGAAGGATGAGTATTGAAGCCTGACCTCTCTCTCTCTCTCTCACTCTCTCCCCTAGCGGCGGCGGAGAAACAACCCAAAAAAATTCCGCACGCTAGCGCCAGCCCTCCAAAAGCTCCCAATTTTCCCAAATCCACAACAACCACCACACCTTCATCCTCGCACTCCACCACCCTCTCCACCCCACCCTTCCCACCGCACCCACCAAATGGGCCTCTTCACCACCTCGACGACCCCCGCCCCGCCCCCGCCCTCCCACGCCTCCCCCACCCCGTCCCCGGACGGCGCGTTCGAAGCCCCGGACCGGCAATCGCGCGCGCACTGCTGGCGGGCCCGGGACGACTTCTTCGCCTGCCTGGAACGCAACGGCATCATCGACGGCATACGGGAGAAAGATCGGGCGGAGGGCGCGTGTGGGAGTGAGGGGAAGGGGTTGGACAGGGAGTGCGCCGCGAGTTGGGTATGTATGTTGACTGGTGATGCTGGTTTGGAGGGAGGCATATTGGGGGGGGGAAAGGGACTGGAAAAGAGGAGGGATGGGGGGGGGACGGAAGGGAATAAATGGACATGGAAGAGCTAAGCTGTCTTGGATTGAGATGGGTGGCTGACCGGTTGTCGGGATTTACAGGTCACGTATTTCAAGCAGAGACGAGTGATGGAGCACAATAAGAAGCAAACGCTGGAAAAGCTGGCGAAGGAAGGGGCGAGACCGATGCCCGAGGGGATGGCGCTGCCTGGAGACCAGAGGAAACCGACTTCGTGAATGACGAGGCACTTGACAGCAAGGGCGAAAGCGCATTGTTACAGGACGGGTTCTCGATCGCGAAGTCGAACCTATGGCTATGGTAGCATGGCATGCTTGGTCGGTCAATGCATTGCAGCGGAGTTATTCTGGGTCACTCTCTACGATAGCGTCGAGAAAATCTTCAAGTACTACCACGTTACAGATGTATGATAGGCAGGCCACAGTCGGTGCCGAATATTCCTGGTCTTGCAAGTTGGGTTCGTAAAAGGGAGTAGATATTATTGCGAGTAGAGGACGTAGCTATCTGAAGCCAGGAGGGGGGGGAGCTCAGCGATTCATAATATCAAGCGCCCAAAATCGTATGTCGCTGCGATCCAGCGTTGGTATCCGCAGTAATGAAGCGCGTGCCTAAATTTGTGACAGAAATGCCAGAAAACGACAGTAAATGGTAAAAAAATCCACGCCGCTCATGCCTCCTAAATGGTATTCAAAAAGAAACTCAGACGCTCAAATGACGATAAACTCCATGCATATTCGCTCTTCTCTGACGGGTATCTCATATGCTTCCATGACAGAAACGTTGTAACATAGAAAGCGTCAAAGTCGTGTACTTCATAAAGCCGACAGAATCGGCTAAAGAACATAATAATTCAGACCTTCGAAGAGAAGTCATAATTCGCGATAAGATCAGGAACGAGGAGTAGCAGTAGCATTTTCCTCGCTGGTGGCAACAGCCACAAGGACTTCAAGCCCACTCATCTGGGTGTCCTTTGGCCCGTTGTGGTGAGAACTGTCCGCACCGGTCGGTAGCGGCCAGGTCGGAGGTCGTGTGTTTCCGGCATTGTAAGCCTTCGTAAATGGTTCAGCAATTTCTTTACGACAACTGAGCGTCAGAACTTACGTGGTGAGGCGCTGGCATGGCAGCGCCAGGGTGAGCAGACTCAATGTAACCGTTGCTGTGGACAATCGAAGGATGATGTTCGGCAGTTGTGAACGAGGGCGTGGTCGGGACTCCTTCGCTACTGCTGGAATCTCCAGGTGAAGCTCGCTGCTGACTTCCTCCTACATGGCCGATATACCAGCCTTGACGTTTCGCTCTAACAGGGGTAGGATTGGGGTAGTGTGGAGTCTCAGAAGCGCGCTTTTGGGATTCTTGATGTAGAACAGGGGCTGCCTGGGAGTGCTGTTCCGTCTGTGAGCCGACTGAGACTTGTTCATTAGCAGCCTGCTGGGACCATGCACCAGAATCGTTAGGTGGGGTCCCACTCGCTATGTCAAGTTTAGTAAGATTCTGATGGAGAGACATGTCCCATGATGCGTGGCCCCTCCTGTCGTTTGGTCCAGAGTTGGGCTGCACTGATGGACCTGGATAGATTGGCGGTCTGATAGCAGGGTCGATCTGCATAGGACTTGAAGCGCTGGCATGGGGCGTTGCAGGCCGACGAGGCATCTGATCAAACGTTTCAATACCGGGTAGTCGATGTGGCTGACTTGCAGCCGCAGCAGCTTGTGGAGCAAAAGCAGGCCGAGGAGCATCCGGGGTCTGGTAGTAGCTCAATCCACTCGTAGCTGGACGAGAGTAATTCGTATAAGTATAGGTGCTAGGATGCCATGTCCGTCTTCTCCATTCGGCTTCGGCAGCTGATACAGCTTCGCGGCGTGACGGGTTGTAATTCGCATTGGTCGGACTCCCCGAACTACTGCCAATATTTGGAAAGGTAGAAGCACTGGAGGAAACCAGAGGACTGAGGAAAGGCGAAGAATAGGCATTACTCTGAGGAGACTGGAATTGGACCGGTCCAGATGGTACGGATAGTCTTCGAGTGTGAGACCTGCCGTCCCAAAAATTACCACTTCGAGATACAGTGGACACGGGTGACCCCAAGGATGAGCCATAGCCCGGGCTATTCTGTCCATTGGAATAAGTGGTCGAAGTTGGGGTGCTAGCACCTTCAGATGGTTCCACTAAGAATGAATACTGGCCAGGCGGCGTTGAAGCTTGACTTCGTAGCGTATCCAAGCTCAGCCTGTTCCGCGCAGATGAATCACCCGCCATCATCAAAGGAGGTGGCCTTCGTCGACTGTCCTCTCTGACCATCGTAGATGCATTGGATCCAATACTAGAGGTTGACAGATTCCGGCCGTGACCTCGACCGTGGCTTCCTTGGCTACTCGCAGTGCCAGCGCGAGGCCGCCCACTCGGCGGTCGCACACGATCAGTTCGAATCTGGCGTTGAAAGCGAGTACCAGTAGCAGCCAGAGAGTCGCCAGGAATCTCTTCGTTGACATGTACCGTTTGGGCATGCTGCCGCAGGTTGTCGAGACGAGAGAATCTGCGCGAACAGTGACATTGGAAAGGTCGTTCCCCGGTATGTTTCCTGCCACTTTCAGTCAAACTTAAGGTACCTGATCGAACGAACACATACCTGATGTGCCGTGCGAGATGTTCACTCCGTGTGAAACTCAACTTGCAAGGTGGAAACTCGGTGCAGAAAAACCTCTGACCCTTCTTCTTTTTGGATGGCCTGCCCGTCTCCAAGTCTATACTGTCGGCGTCCGACCCTCCATCGCCCTCGTCTGATTCATCCATGTCTATGTCCTGGGATTCCGTTGATTGAATCGAGCGACTCGAATCGCCGCGACTGGCAATCCCAGGTCTTGTCGTGCCTAGAGGCTGATGTTGTACTGGAAAAGAATTGCTAAAGGGCGAACTGGGTAATGGCCGTTGCCCGTTTACTCCACCAAAGTTCAGTGTTGTAGGCGTATTTGGCGCGGACCGCGTCGAGTCCTCGGAAGATGGGAGAGGTGTGGGTCGAGTAGGGTTTGGTATAGGGGCTCGAGGAGTCGTCGGTGTAGTCGCTTCGGTGGAGTAGTCCGAAAGGCCGAGGCCAACGTTGACCGGCTCAAAGGTGGTCATTGTGGTAACACTCCGACTTCGCCTGAGCGTAGAACGAGAAAGGCCTTTCTGAGTCTAAAGAGAGGTGCAGTGTGTTTTGTAGAAGGCGACTAGAAGTCGATGAGCGCTTGCGTCATTTCATGGAGACGCCGGCCTGACAGGGTTGGAAATACGGAAAAGAGACGGAAACTCAAGCGCAGCCTCGAGGTTGGTATGCTGCCGACCTGCGCACGCTGACGCTGCAGTACCTGTCGCAGTTGTGTAGCAAACACCCCGAATTCGATATGTATTATTGCAGTATAAAGATCGCCTTCTTTGCCTCGTACATTGAGATTGTGGCGGGGAGGATGCAGTGGTACGCAGCGATAAGAGTAGCAGGAGAGGAGCGGAGAGGCTGTTTCAGAACGGAGTGTGGGATCGAACGCTAAAACATGCAGACTGTACGGGCATCAAGGCCTACTTCCAAGAATGACAGAGATGGAGATTCAGATTGGCCAGATGGTTTTATTGGTGAAGTGAAGTGGTAACTTGTAAGAAGGGTCAGGAGAGGTTCGTCGCGGGGTCCTAGTCGCCATCGAGGCTGCAGGAAGACCGACCTAGAGGGAACTTGTGGGCTAGGCGGTGGCAGGGGAACTCTAGGGAGAATCTAGGGGAACTCTAACCCTGGCTCTGTGCAAGAAAGGTCTACGGTACCTAATAAAACATAGGGTGCTTACGGTTCCCTTGTTCACTGGGAAAGGCATCAAGCATCAGATACCAAAAAGGGCAGGCAGAACAAGATGACGGATGCTCAGCTCAATGAGGCAGCGACAGCAAGAGGGGAAAAGAAGATTCCGTCCGTGGGATTACCGAAAGTTCAAACTCTACATGTTGCTCATGTGCTTGCATACATTCTTCATGTATGATGCATGCTCTGCTCTGCAAAAGTGGGATCCGCGGGATGGCCACATCAAACAGTGGGAGAGGGGCAGTCTTATGCACAAGATCCGGAGCAATTTTCGGCGGCAATAGGGCAATGCATTGCGGCGGTGTGCAAAAGGAAACGCAGGAAGAATAGAGGGTAGCGAGTGGTACGCATGCAACCAGGCTGAACCAGGCTTCATTTGCTGACAGCCAGCCCATGTAGGCTAGACCATATAGTCAAAGTCAACTTGCTCTTGCATTCTGCAAGGGCTTCAGGTACATCCAAGCAATGTATCGCAGCGCCTCTTGTTCGCTGGCAGACCTCTCTCTGTTCGCGCTCATGCTCGTATAAGTGGACATCTTGACCCCGCCATTCGCTATCGATAAAGCCCCTTCATCCCACTTGCCTAGTCGTTTGTGCTTTCAAGAGGCTTGATTCCGCTTGGCTTCAAGGATGATGCGCTTTCAACGGCAGCCAATCTCGGAGATCTTCAGCGCCTTGTTCCATAGATCTGTTGATGATCGACAGCGCCATGGACGTTAGGTCCTAAATCCATTTATAGACCTGGTTAGTGGTGAGCAATGATGTTGGTACTTGTCCAAGATGTACATGATAAGACGACTGAGCAAACAGCTCACTGGGGGAAGACATTAAATCGAAGTTCATCCGTCATCTCCCCAAAGCCCCAATTACGCTTCCCACCATCACCGCAGCTTCTCTTTCCCATGCCCCTGCTCTTCCTCGTGCGCCGCCAGGTCCTTGACTTCCTTTAAATACGCAGTCTCTGATACTTTCTCTGACCCTATCCCTCTGAGTCCTCAAGCTTCTTGCATTCACGCCTCCTCTGGCTACCAGGTCAGACACCCTCCCAGCAAGTCCTTCGGCCAAACTTCGCCAGAAGTACGATGGCAATGACGAAGTGTCCAATGCTGCAAGTAGAGGCCGCAGGAAATTTGATCGCTCCTCTCCACCGTTTTTAGTCTCCTTCGTTGGATGAGAAGGAGCTTTGACAGTCTCAAGCAAAGCCTCGAGGGCAACGATGTTTTGACAACGAGCAGAGACTTCGAGTAAGGTCCGGTCCAGATTTGGGAGATTAGCCAGAGCCCTGGCAATGGAGGCGAGAGAAGATGTTAGAGATGTGCGGAGGTATGACTGGAGGGCTGACAGAAGAAGCTGCGGGGAGAGGAGGTGGAGAGTCAGGAGGGCGGAAATTGTTCGGGCCTTCGTCTCTTCGGATTGGGCATAAGTTGCAGGTCCGCTCGGCGACGGAGCGAGCGAAGACATGGAGAACTCGCGGATGACCTGCTGCCCCCGATTCTGCAAAATGCTGTCAGAAGAAGCGAGGAGGCCACTTTGGAGACTCGAAATGAGATTGATGCGTAGCAAATGCTCGCCTTCTTCATCAGGTCCAGAAGCGGCGAGCAGTTGGCGACTAGTAAGCAGCGTATTCGCTGCCCGTATCATGGCCCTGTGGTCTTCCTTCTTCGCTGCACTCCCAGTGCCAACTTCACCCATCTGAGCCTCAAGCTGTCGCCCGAGCAGTAGACATCTTCCCACCCCACGGCCAATCTTCACGGTCTGCCATAGCCTTTCTACGGCAACGCGGACCTCATCTGCAGCTTCGTACCGCTGTATGACTTCTCTTTCTAGCCGTTGATAGCCATCTGTGAGGTTTGCTACCTGAGCTTCGACCTCGCTGACAATTCGCTGGCCAGCATCGTCCTGGTCTTTTGTGTAATTAAGTAATGGTAGTGCGGATTTCGTTGTCAAAGTGTGGATATGTGTATCAACTTCTTGCACATCGAACAACACTCTTGAAAGCGGTGTAGAGAGGTCTAAGGGCGTGTCTGATGGGTTGTTCGTGGCTAGGACTAGCGAATTGGCGAAAGACGTAGGTGAGAAGTTTGGGTCCAAGAAGGTCTCATAATCGATATACGACGGCTCAGAGTCCGTCATACTTCACTAAATCCCCTCGACGGCAGTACTAAATCCCATAAATTCGGTTGCCGGGTTTATTGTTGCGAGTGTAACATGGTTCGTTGGAGATTTGAAACATTCTTGGCGAGCCGGCAGAAGCGCCTTACAAGCCTGCATGGCAAAGAACCTCGACTTATCGTTGGGTTGGGTTCTGAATTCCCCCAAACCGTCCAGGCATGAACCTCGGGTTACATCTTCAAACATTACTACGACTGGTTTTCTGCTGCCGTCCCGATGACTCGACTGGAGTGTTTGAGGCCTGCCTCATATTTCTCCATGCAACGCATGAACAGAATGCTTTCTATTTATGACCCATGTATGTCTGTCTTTCCTAGTATCTGCTTTGACCTGGTCTTTGAGCTTCTTCTCATACCATGCACCTCTCCATTGTCCTCACGTTGCTGCAGTTTTTTATTGCAATAGCTCACATCAATGCGCAACCGTTGAAACACTTGTCATCTTCCCAATCGCACCAGCAACACGTGCGTCTGCATCACCATCGCAAAGACCCTGAAAGGTATTTGCCGATATCCAACGCGCAACACATCTTGGGAGTCAAACTTCGAGAACATCGTCGAAACTCGGGTTGAGATCGTTATATCACCAAATAAGCCACCAAGCTCCGAAAACCTCGAAACTTAAATGACTTTCAAATACAAAAGCTATCGTCGATTGGTAACGAAAGACGACGGGATGGTTCGGCAGAAGCGCCTAGACCAGCCATCCTCGTATTCGACGCGTGCATTTCCTCTTTTGTTTTGTCTCAGAAGGATTCGAAACATCCGCGCACCCTCAACTACACCACACCATGGTGAAATATTCTCCAGCTAGAATACCATGTGTCCAGGAGGAAGCACGGCGCTACGTTGGAGGCTGAGAGGAGACCAACGTTCTGACCTCGGTCCTCACCTCGGTCCTAATGGAAAGTCTTCGGATTTTGCAAGGCGGTGCTGATCCTCAGGGTCGATGGCCAGAAGAACGATTCGAATGACTCGATGTTCTCAGACGTCTACAGTATGGAGATAGATCATCATTAAGACCGTTTCCTCGCGCTGGTTCCGACCTAGCGTTGTCGCGCGTCGGGAAGACTGAAGAAATTGACCGTAGTAGTGCCGTTTTCCGGGGTTAAATTGACGGCGTTACTGGAGCTGAAGCTCCCATACCATGTGGCTCGCTCTTACCGTGAATACGAGTCGCTACCCTTTCTTAACACCGACAGGCAACGGGACAGGCCAGTGTATATATAAAGAAGATCAGTATACCTCGTTTTTCAATCACTCGTTTCTTTAATCCTCACTCCTACTTCTCAATCAACAACACTTCAAGCCTCAGCTCCATTTGAAGTCATCTGTATGTTACAGAAGCTTCAGAACCTTTCCCTCCTATCCAAAAACTGCCATCCAGCCGAAAAGATGTCTGGACCACTCGCTGGTAAGACCGCTCTCATTACTGGCGGCAGCAAGGGCATTGGAGCCGCTACCTCTCTGCTCCTCGCCAAGTCTGGTGCCAATGTCGCCATCAACTACTCTTCAGACTCCAGCGCAGCCGAGGATATTGCCAAGCAAATTGGCCATGAGCAATCCCTACTCATTCAAGGTGATGCCGGCAGCATCCCGGACATTGAGCGTATGGTTTCCGAGACTGTGAACAAATTCGGCAAAATCGACATTGTGATTCCGTGTGCTGGTATCATGCTCTTGAAGAACCTCGAGGCCACGACGGAGGCAGACTTTGACAAGAGCTACCACCTCAATGTCAAGGGTCCTTACTTCCTCTGCCAGGTCAGCCGCCCTAATTCCCCCTTCCACGGCTGTGAAAGCTAACGCCCCGGAAGAAAGCGGCACCCCACATGCCTGAGGGTTCTCACATCGTACTCATCTCCACCACTCAATGCACCGCCACCACAGTTCAAGCGCCATACCTCCTCTACAACTCCACCAAAGGTGCCATCGAGCAGATGACCCGCGTCATGTGCAAGGATCTTGCGCCCAAGGGCATCTCGGTCAATGCCGTGTCCCCTGGCCCCACCGGCACGGAGCTCTTCTACAAGGGCAAGACGGAGCAGATGTTGAAGATGATCGCGGGATTCAGTCCTATGGGTCGCATTGGGAAGCCGGAGGAAATCGCGGAGGCGATTGTCTGGTTGAGCAGTGGCTCGAGTTCATGGATCAGCGGTCAGATTCTCCGGGCCAACGGAGGCATGGCTTAGGGACATGGAGGTCCAGACGTCGGAGAGACGTTGGCAGCAGAGAGCAGATGAGAGAATAACTGATGCGTGTATATTTGCCAACCGCAGAACTCTAGTCTCTCACAGACAAATTCAGGATTAAGGTAAGTAGTTAAGTAAGTAGGCGAATGAATGAAACTCGGTCCCTCGGTCAGACCCGTACTAGTACCACACTAGTGCACGTGGGGGCCCAGCGACCTATCAGAGCTTCGTGATGCAATCTCTCAAACCTTCTCTCAAATCTCAGTCTTTTACCAAGCTGGCGGTAAGCCTCCAACAATGCTACGACACGTCGGAGTCGTACATTGGGCCATTTCCCATGGAGCAGCGCTCATAAAAGCGCAAGTTCCCCCATCTGAGCGCGAGATGTTGATACCTTCCAGATGGCGCCTTCTCAAATTCTTCCCAGCCAGACGCCAGTCCAGAAGCCTAACCGCGCCCCATAACCACTTTTGGCTTCAAGAGTCATTTCTCATGTCCCGAAAGGAGCACCCAAAAATGGGCAATTTCCCTTCCCTCCCATAAGAGCCCAGCTCGTCGCACGTTCGCGATTGCATTCCGTCAAAGGGTAACATAATCCCCAAAGTAAAAGGGTATTACACCTGCGAGGTGACATACTTTGTGGCTTGCAGCCTCCCACATTCTACACATCCGCCGGCGCATTCCCCTGCGACCTGCAGCATCATCCTGCTCGAGTCCCCAGCAAAGGTTCAAGATGCCTGAGGACACGCCCCAAGATACTGCCTCCAAGCAGCGCTGGCTCCCACTCACCAGTCCACCGACCAGTCCTGTCGCATTGCCAATGCGTCCCGCGCTCGCAGAGCTACCGGCTCTTCCGCTGAACCAGAGACCTCAGCCTACAGCTTCGAAGACACTGCCAGCAGAGGTCCCTGTTGTTGGTGCGAATCAGCCCCTCACTCCTCCATCTACACCTCCGAAACCAGAGAACATCCGAGCTTCCGCCAGCGCAGACGGGATTGAAGCTATACTCTCAATCAACGTAAACCTAGGCGCGAAGCCATTCGGGATGCCCGAACTTAAAGCGGATCAGGCATCAAAGAGGGAAGCTCTAGGACCGGACACGGCACCGAAGCCGTACACTGGGGAATATCAGTTGCGCGAGGAGCTAGGGCGTGGTGCTTGGAGCACCGTATATCGTGCTGTAGAAAATGTCGAACCATTGAAGCAATTGACAAATCTGCCACCAACTCCTCCAACATCACCAACCGCTGGCGCGACTTCTTCGAGCAAGAAGGTGCTGGCAGTCAAGAAACCCTCCAGCCGCCAAGCGCACAAGATTCTCGAGAAGGAAGCAAAGATTCTCACTTACATCCACTCCCACGCCAATGCTTCAACTTATCTCGTCCCATTCCACGGCTTCGACTCGGCTCAGCATTCCATCATGTTTGACGCCGTACCTCTCAGCCTCGAAACCCATGCTAAAGCGGCCACCAGACGTCCGCTTTCGACAAAGACCATGTTTGACCCTGTCGTCGGTGCAGAGGAATGGGCCGGCCTCGCCGAGAGTCTGATAGATGGTCTCGCCTTTCTTCATAGCGTGGGCTGTGTGCATGGAGACATCAAGCCAGCGAACATCCTTCTTCGACCTGGAAGCAGCCGGGCCTTGACTCCTCTATACTGTGATTTCTCCTCCTCGCACACCATCTCCAGCACGGGCGAGGAGCAGGAGGTTGAAGAAGTCAGCGCGGTCACAACAGAGTACTTATCTCCCGAACTTCTCGAAGCATTGTCCCCTCGTAACACCGACCGCGCCGTCGCAACATATGCTTCAGATGTCTTTGCCCTGGGAGTAACACTGCTATTCGCGGCTATTGGCGACAGCCCTTACGCGGGTGCGCGCATGGCGTCGCAAAAGCTCGGTATGGCGAAAGAGGGATTGCCGTTTGAGTTCGCCAGAAGGGGAGAACAAGCGAGTAGAGTCATGAAGGGTAGGGCGGTGGAGAAAGCGTTGAAGGGCGCACTGGCGAGAGAGGCGGTGAAGAGGGCGGCGGTTGCGAAATGGAGAGATGAGATCCGCGAGCCCCTGAAAAGCTGGGAAGAAGGCGGTTGGGCGAGGGGCGGATGAGGAGGCCAAGCGACGAATCATGATCTATTCCTTACGAAAAGCGACGGTGCTGGCGGTGCCCCATTGCGGCTAGAAAGGGGCTCTTTGCAGCGATATACCGGCGTTCTAGAAGACTGAGCAGGCATCATCGTCCTACCTTTCTTGCAAGTATGAATCAGACCAATGCAGATGTCGAGCATCTGATTCTTTCCTCCTTTTCCCAACATCCCTCGTCTCTCCCTTTCGTCTGCCAGTCACGCGATCATGCCAACACCCTCTCCCGAAGCTCCATTCCTCCCATAGACGTCAACACACCAGCCCTAAATCCATCTCGCACCCAGAACGCTTCAGCAGCCAGTCGCACCCGACCGCATCCGTACACTCCACCAGCTCGCTTTCACGCCGTGGACATCCTATCGCCCCAGCTCCGAATCAATGGATCGAACAGCCGCTGTACCTAGAGTAGTGAGTGTATGTAAGTCGTCCCGGCGCCACGGCACCGGGTCTTCCGTGGCGCCCCCATGTCGGAGCTTCAGCCCTGGCCGATCGAGTCCTTCCGGCTTCCGACACGGGGCACGAACCTACTCCCGACAATCGACTCCCACCCCCGCCTGGATGTTGGCTTGGCTTGGTGGAGCGGCACCAGATGTCGAGGTGGGATGGGGATTTTCAAGGTTTCCCGGGAGGTTGGGGGGGGAAGAGAAGGTTGTTCATCGTCGGGCTGGCTGATGGATCAATGACACTCCCCGAAGCAGGACCAGCGATGGATCTCTCAAACCGCGATGCTGGCGGCCAACGGAAGAAGAAGAAGAAGCTTTCTGTTTCATCGGAACGGGGGAGGGTTTTTCTGATTCCAGCACGGAAGCGTTGATCGGTGTGCATCAGCCAAGCTCCGAGCTTGGAGGATCAGATCTGCAATCCACGACGTGTCCAACCCACCGAGCTGACAAGTTGTCCCGACGATTACCATCGAGCCGGCTATGGGTGATGGGTCGTAAAATACGTATGAGTCTGATTGACTGGCTTGTGCTACCAGATCCATGTCGAGCCATGTCTAGCTAGATGCGTCTCGGACATAGCTTCCCCGGGTTGGATTTGACTCCGGTGGACTGGTAGCTCCCACTCGGTAACCGTTCTCCCATGTGTTGTTCGTTGTGTCGGGACCCAGGTGGTTTGGCTACAGGTATAGATGGTGAGGGTTGGTCATCGCTTAGCTATCGTTATCTTCTGGCTTCTGACGTGACGGTCGCGGCTTGTTCGATGTCCTAGCAAATCCTAGGTAGGAGCAATCGGATCCCTGCTCCCTCCCTTAGCGTGCCTCTATCGGCCTCCCAATGCCTCTCCAATGCCTCCCAATGCCTCTCCAATGCCTCCCAATGCCTCCCATGCCTTTTATACCTCCCATTGCCTCAGCTACCTCCCCCACTAACCTTTGTTAGCACGTCATTTCCTTCTTGAGCCGGCCCCACTCTTTTATTGGTGATGGGAGTTTTGGTTCATTCGCACGCGATCCAGCTTCACTAGAAATGTTGTCAGCGTTGTGGAAGACCGTTCGTGTATGTACGCGCCGTGGTATTGAATGAATTATCACTTCAACATTTCTTAACGGCTTTGGTGGAATAGCATGTGGCAAATTGCCTGAAAGAAGATCTTTGCGAGGTGTGGAAGTCTTTGGAATCTTAGTGTCTTTAAAGCGTGTTCATGGATGTCCCAAGAGTGCGTCTATGCATAAAGACACAGCTTTTCGCGGACGATCAGCATTACCCTGTGGCTTGTTTCCCATGCCCGTCTTGCATTAGCATGGCCGACAGGGCATATGGGTTTGGTGTTACTGTTATCCCGTGACTGATTGATTCTTGTTGGGACCCTCGCTGCCCCGTGAAATTGATGTCTTGGGCTTTCAGGTGCACACTTCGTATCTTTCTGCATCTGATCAACAATAACAAAAAGCCTAACAGACGCACGTTTGCTCATCAATAACAGGTTCCTGGCTTGTTAGTGTCAATGAGAGGTGGAAGCAGTCCGAAAGGAACAACGCGAAGCTGAGGCTAAAGTGAAGGATCACAGCCCGTAAAGCAGCACGTCTCTCACCTTCAACATCATTCAACACTGACTCCAAGGATCGCAGCCCACCACCATCTCGTGGCTCACCTTCAACGAGAAATTCCAATGGCCACCACCCCGTATGCATGCCCAAATCATGGCTTCTGGCCCACGCAGTGGACTGAGACCTAGAAATCTAGAATCCCTCAAACCAATGATTTGGACGCCGTCGACATCGCCGAACAAGATAACCCAATCGCTACTACCCCGTACGTATTCCCTCATTGTATAGCTTCTTGCCAATAGCAGCATTAAGATCGAATGATCTAGACCTCCATCAAGCACAGAGCAAAACAATACAGCAGCCACCACCCCGTATGTCTGCCCTCATCCTTTGGCTTCGTCCCGATTGAACGCGAACTTACACCAAAACATCTAGCCCGCCAACAGCCACGAATTGGGACGACATTGACCCCGTCACCGGGCTGAGCAAAGAATATATGACCGCCATGGACATCATCGACAGCTGCGACTATGCAGAACTTCGTCGTTTCAACGCTCTACTGTTGGCAAACCAGCGCCTTTCGATCGGGCAGCAGATAGAAATGTACTACGACGGAGGCGAGTCTGAGGAGCATAGGCGTAAGAGGAACGGAGGTGTGATGGCAAGAAGGAAGAGTGTGATGGAAAAGGTGGCAGCGATAGTGGCCTGTTGGAGGGGGGCGAAGTCGAAGAAAGCAGCGAGGGGCGGACGGGAGCATGAAAGGCATTTTGGGGGGGAAGTCGAAGAAAGCAGCGAGGGGCGGACGGGAGCATGAAAGGCATTTTGGGGGGGGACAGAGTCGAAGTAATCAGCGAGGGGCGGACGGAAGCATGAAAGGCCTTTTGTGAGCATGCCAGGAAACCAATCTGTCTCATTCAGAAAGGCAGCAAGCAAGGCGAAGAAAAAGATCCGGAAACACCAAATGGCTACACGGACACCCACACACTCTTCAATATAAATCCTGTAGTGCTGTTGTATCGTCGGACCAACAACGAGCCCGAAACCACGTGAGGTAGTAACCAAGCTCTGCAACCGCGCTGCAACACGTCTCTTGCCATGCTCACGGAGAGCTGGTGCAAATCAGTCACCACCAGAGTCGCGAGGATGAGGAGAAGATCGTTGGAAGGCACGCTGCGACCGACCGCACCCCCCCGCAAAGACTCCGGTTGGGGTCTAGAGATGAGTCTCGTACCGAGGCGCCTGTCAAGTCTCGGGCTGAATCAGTCGTCGAATCTCGGAGACCTTGACACAAAGCCAGGGGTTAGGGTTCGGGATCAATCTCGACCAGGCCACTAGCCACTCTTTTTCCTTCGAGCAGTAGGGCTCTGCGAGGTGTACGGTAACTGTTTTGTTCTACTTGGGCCGATTTGGACTGTTCGATTGATTGCTAGCTATCGAGAAGGAATTGACGTGTTTGGATTGTTCGCGGGAGTGCAGCGAAGGAGTCGAGGCTTTTTCTATAGTGCCGAGCATGCCAAGCCTCAACTAGCGCAGAGGTGGTTCAGAGGGGGGAAAGCCGCTGTGCTTTCTGTAGCTTTTATTTCTCTGGTATTAATATTACAACTATGGTAGCATTTACAGCTCCAGTCTCCTATTCGTACAGACGCTGCTTTTCCAATCAAAACAGCCCGCTAATACCTAACGCAGCAGACTATCTTCTTCCATCCCGTAAGGTCATCATTCAGTCGTCCGCCCATAGTGGTACAGTGGTATATGATCAATCCAAACAAAATCGCAGCCAACTCAGGATTATGATTATTATTGGCGGCCTTATTTTCCGGCCTTAGCCTCGAGGGCAACATATAGTGGTAGTGGTAGTGGTAGTGGTAATGGTAGTGGTAATGGTAGTGGGGAGTCGTGAATCGTAATGGCGAACTCAGTAGTTCACTTTCGCCCATTGCCATGGCTGCTGTGGAGGGGGAACGCCCATCTCGTAAGAAGGGACGCCTTGCGTATCCGGCCATGAGGGTGAGTGAAACTCGTATTGTCGATGCTATGACCACTGTCAGTCGGTGCTCACAGTTCGAGTCACTCGAGGCATGAGTCACTTACCGGAGGAAGACTCGGCGCCTCAGGGGCAAACCCCAACGTAGTCTGATCATACTGACCCCACGCCGGTGTCGGAGGCGCTCCAGACAAAGGCGAATGCACACTGATCGGTTGGAAGCAGGAATCAATGCTTCCACGTTCAGGGCGCTGAATGCCGTCTTGCGGGTAAAAAGGCTGGGGAAGGGCTTGTTGAGGTTGCAAGTAGTCTGAGAGAGGGGAATAACAAGAATCAGAGGAGGAATACAAAGGAGAGTCTCCGGTTGGAGAGAGCCCGTAGAGCAGCTCGGGGACCAAGCTGCGTGGTGTCGTACCTATTGGTGCATGACTGGAGAGCTCATGGAGACCTCCTGGCCCTGAACGGTGGGAGGCATATTCGCTGCTTCGGTGCATGTTAGGCTCGATTATGGAGCCGATGGACATGGTGCCGGAGGGTTGAGGGTTTGATGGCGCGGGTGCTGGGGCTGGAGGACCCATGTGTGGGCCGCTGAAGCTACCTCTGGCGGATGGACTTGAGGCTTCGCTGGTCGAGCGCTGAGAGTATGGACTCCTGAATGCCGATGTCTCTGCTGGGATATTGTGTCTACCGAATATCAGAGCTGATCTTGTGCAGCGGGCAGGTCTACTTACTGTCTTTCCATGTGCCTTGCTAGCAGGTCCGCGCGTTGAAAAGGCTTGCGACATCCTTCTAACGTACATTGAAAGGCAGGCTGTGTATTGTGATTCGCTTCGTGGCGTCTGTAGAATGACGGTCAGTACAAAGGACAGCTTTCGGAGACCGTTGAGTGCCATACTTGCGATGCTCTGCCCGAGTGAAGATCTAATTTGAAGTTAGCACTTCCCCGAACGCAAACCCAGGACCAAACGCACCTTAGTACATCCTGGGTACTCGCAAGCATGGACCTTCTTCCCCTTCTTCGCCTTGCTAATACGATGTGTCGTCGGAGTATACGTGATTTCGCCGCCCATCGGATCCAGCGCGCCCCCTGGCATTGTCATGATGGAACCCCGTGACGACCCTGAGCCCGACCCTGACTCTGCTCTATATGGCACCGACTTTGCTTTCTGTCGCTGCTTTGGACTTTCCCTAGGTTTCCCCGAAGCATCTGCAGGAGACCTGGATGAAGACCTGCGCCGTCGGGTTGATTCAGACGATGTCGGCTTCTCGTCGGAGGCTGATGGGAGGCCGGTGGGAGGACTATGTGCTTTTATTGCTGTTGATTGAGCAGCCTCTATTAATTGTGACTGAAGTTGTTGGTCGGCCATGTTGCAAATTCTGCGCCTTGAATGGTACTAAAATTGGCTATTATCTCCGCCTCAATTAGATCTTTGCAGATTTTTGATTAGGAAACCTGCTGTGGTGTGGGGCGACAACGGGATGGATGACTGAATGCGGTCTTTCGAGATTATGACGGCCTCAGCAAGGCTACTTAATCTTCGAGGTGGCAGTACAGGACATTGGTATGTAACGTTCAGCCTACCACGAAGGTCATGCTGTATTAGGCCCGTGAGGCAGGCTGACGTAGTAGTATTAAGCAAAGTTGAGACGGCGTGTAGAAATTGTGAAGCAAAGGATGTTTGTGAAAAAGAATAAGTATCATCGACGTGATCTGCAAAGCCGAGTGTTCACGGGGTGGGGTGAATGAAGGTAGCTGCCGAACGAAGCGTTGCCTAGTTGAGTTATCAAGATGGCTCGAAGCCATGAAAAAAAAACCTACTTTATGCCTCATCGAGAAATGGTAATCTCGCTTGATGACCTGCATGGAGGATAGGTGATCATGAATGGGCTATTTTAAACGCGGCTGTGCAAGTCATGAATTGTAAGAGACTTTTTGCTATGTAGTACGGTATGTAAATTGTAAAGTAGTTACCCGGGCGTTCAAGCCCACGGCTCAAAGGAGCTATTCAACGTCGTAGTCTGAATGTGCTCCAATGCTCCAATGCTCCAACTCCGGGTCGTGTCATAGTCATCTGGCCCAAGCTCCCTTCATTTCACGTGTCGCTGACTACGTCTCCGTCGTAGCACGGGTGACATGGCACGGGAGGATTTCGATCCATGATACGGTGGATCAGCGAGACGCAGGAACGCTGATGCTTGTCCAGAAGAGGTCAAGTCAGAACTACTCACTAGAGGATGTCAAAAGATCCAGCGTTCGCGTTTTGGCGATTGCGGTGTGTTGGAAAGTAATCCTGGTAGGATGTAACCCTTCTGAAGAACAAGGCTTACAAAGGCTCTGGACTGTGCTTGGATAGGAGGTTGATGAGGTCGACAAAACGCATGAGGTGCATTAGCGGAGTATCTCGCGCTATATTTGGCATCAGCCTCGCTAATCCTTCCCTATCCGCGATCGGGGGAGCCCCTATCTTTTCCTTTTTTTTCCTCTTTTTCTTTTTCAACTAATTTTCCACTTATTTTTCCATGCCTGGTTCGGTGCAATGCCTGGTCGGAGGATTCCTGCTTCGTTCAAGGCCCAAACAGTGTGGACAATGTGGACAGTGTGGACATGATTGGTGGAAGCATATTCATCGAATCATCGATGAAGCTTGGATGAAACATGCGCTGTTCAAACAGGGTCACAACTCACCTGAACAACAGCGCGACTGGTGGGTCTTGGCAGCTGAACGCTAAAGTACATTACTGATGCATTGTAAAGTACCTTATCCTTGCATTGGACCTGTTTTATTAGACACGGCCACGAGGTGATTAAAGTTAATATTACCTACCCTTGTACCTTACCGTAGTCTGCTTTATCTTAGGTCATCAGTATACTTTCAATCTCTCCTCTCCTGCTGTGCATTTTCTTTCCGGCCAAGGGCAAGGGCGAAAATCAAGCGCTCATTTGCCATGTGGCACTCTCCCTCCTAATAAATCATAAAGTAACAGTGCCAAAAGGCGTCGCCGACATGCAGCACAGTCAGTCGGGCAGGAAGGCGAACGGCATCCCTCCGACTCCGTAGATCCTCGCTTACTCCACTTCTGCGAATGGGCCGAGAAGGAGTCTTTGTCTTTTCCGCGCCTCCTCTCCGCATTCACTTGATACAAGGTTAACCTTCCGTTCCTGACGATCTCGCGTACCCTGTCCTGAACAAGCCAAGCCCCACACTCGATGGGGTAAAGAGCGATGCGAGGCCAGATCTCGCGCCCACCTTCATCATCCTCATCATCCTTGTTGGCCGAATCTTCATTCTCGTGATAGCTTCACCAAGACACCAACATCTCTAGGCCGCAATCCTACTTGTCCACAAACAAAATGCCATCCACCCGTCTCCTGAACCCCCGACTTGTTCTGCCGTGTGAATGAACTCATCATGCATAACACTATCGTTTGCCTTTCCCGCCGGACGACACGTTGATGCTACCGCGTGGCCCTGAGTCAGAGTGCGCTTGAGCCCGGATCAGCATTCAGCAGCGTTTCATACTCGCTAGACTTTGTTATACCCTTGGGCTACCACTCAACCTTCTTGGAGCTCGGCTAATAATAAGGAGCGACGACTACGAGTCAATAACCAAGACAGATCTGAGCTAGTCATCAGATCTTAGGACATGAGACGCGCTAGATGTGCAGCGATATGTTGGACGGCCGAATGCTTGAACGGACGACAGGATTCGGTTTTCTAGCTGAGGTGACCAATGCGAGAATCCTCAGAAGGCTCGCTGCACCGCTGACTACCAATCTCCAACAAATGGCAGGTTGCAGTAGTATGCTCCTTCCGCGTACCTGCTTTTCGCGTGGGCGATCGACTGTCTTGGATTCCGTGGGCGTCTTGGTGGCCAACAAAAAGGGTGCTGCGGCCATGATGCAAGTCTTTGGATAATCTTGATTGGCTCTGGTAGAGGGAAAGTCTGTGCACAAGTCCTAAATACGTTCCTGCTGCGGGTGGTTGCACATGGCCGCTCCTGGCTTTCTTTGGCCTTGTTCAATTGAAACCTCCCCTCCCGCTGAGCTGTTCTCCCGTCTGCCAATCCTCGCTACCACCATTCTTCCTGTGAAAACTGACTACGTGCTGGGACCGATCTGCTTCTGTGGTACTAAGCAGTGGTAAGTGACGGGCGTCTTTCCATCAGCTGAGGCTGACTTCTGTGCCACAAGTCCAGCAACACGCTCTCGGCGAACGGCGATACTGAAGTTTCAAGTGGCACATACCTCCTGATGTAACTAGTCTTCACTTTGCAAAACCACAACAACGTTCCAGGATACCGGAAGGGTGAGTGGGCGAGTTCTGAACCATGAGTACCCCTGCAGCTTGCATGGTGCCGACGTCGACGTACGGCGGAACTGGAGTTGGCTCCCGATATGTATGTAAAGGATGTGTGCTCTCGCTAGGGTGAAGAACCGCCGCCCCTCTCTTGCTTTTTTCCAGTGTCCTCAATTCAAAGGCAGGTTCCTTCCCTCTGATGCGCAAGTATCCAGCGGACCCCTTTTCTCAACGGACTCTGCAAGAAGACCAAAAGCAAGCTCGTAACACAGTGCCGCAAGAATCACGCAATCTAGCTCCCTTCGCTGGAAGATCAGCCTGACTTGGCAAAGGCTTTCAGGCAATGCTGGAGAATCATAGGGAAGCAGCTAAGAATCGTAAGGGTTTAGACATAAATAAGTATATATGGCAGATAGTTGAGTGAGAATGCAAACACAAGGCCGAAGACCGCGCATTGCCGACGCCAGAATTACAGAGCAATTCATCTGTCGAAGAATATTAAATGCTAAATCGCAAACGGTTTGACAAATCGAATTCGTCACCACAGTTCCCTTCCCTACCCAATGCCCCTTCCCGATATACCCGTCCATGACCCAGCCGAAAACGCCCACTCGAGTGATGCTTTTGCAACAAACGATGACTGAACAGGTTATCAGAGGAGTGCATATACATCTAATGTTTCTTCCCAGTCATACGAGCCCAAAAACTCCTCCGACTAGCCTCAGGATCGGCAGGCGAGTCGGGACTAACGACATGGGTTCCTCCACGAACGGTCATCCCCGCACTGCCAGGCGACATCATATCCTCGTTCGAAAGCGGACTGTAAATGTCGTTCGAAGGATTGCGCCTCGAGGTCGGCCGAACCGACGGTGGTGGTGATGAAAGACCGGCCGCAGGCTTCGGTGGTGGGGTGGGCGCGGTAGCGTGAAGACTTGGAATGGAGTCACGGGCCTGACGTTTCCCTCTCGACACTTTATTTGCCACCGAGAAGCGACCAGACGACTGACTCAATGGTGATCCGGGGTTGTTCCTATTCAATGACCTTCGCCTGGACGACGAAAAAGATGTTTGACTCGAGAGTGCTGGGACGGAACCCTCCAGTTCCCCCACCGGGTCTCCTGGTAGCTCAGCGGGAGGTGCTGAAGGATCATACAACTCGTGAAATGGCCGCAGTGGTCCCCCCTGTGATGAAGGAAGCTCTGGTCTTGACACATCGCCGGCAGCGATCTCGGACCTGGACACATCGCCACCGGCAACCTCAGCGATGCCCGATCTCTCCCCAGGGTATCTGGCTTTCTCGTTTATCCATTGAGCTTGTGCAGCTTCGGCTTTGGCCTTGGCTTCCTCGGGAGTGGAGCCTTGCATTTCGAAGCGTTGATGCTCGTTGTCAACGCCAAGCTCTTGTTTGAATCCTTGTCGGTGCTGATCCTCCATATCGTTATCAAGCATTTTTGCCTTTTCTGCCTTCTCCTTCTCTGAATCACGCTTAGTCTGGCGCTTCTTCCAGAGGAACGCACCAATTGCGGCAGCGATGACAAGAACACCCACGACAACACCCACTGCGATACCCACAGTCTTGCCAGTCGAAGAACCCCCAGAGCTCGTCGTATCACTTGGAGCTTGGATAGCCACAAGAGTTTGCTGCATGTTCTCCGAGAACAGGCATTCGGAAATGGAGAAATTCTGGCGTTCCCAATCCACAGTGAGATATGCTTCTTGAAGAAATGTCCTTCCCAAGGTATACTGCGTACTGTTATCCGCCCTGCGCAGCGGGAAATAGTTCGTATTGCTGGTTAGATTCGCAGCAGGCGGTGTCAACAGTAGATCAAAACTGGCATACGGTAGCGTGATATTGATTGTTTCTCCACCACTCGTTGAATTACCTAGAGTGAACGTGACACTCGCATTTTGGGCCGTCAATTGAGAGCTTAACGCGTCATCGACCAGATAGAACCCATTCGTGTCGTTGTACGTCAATCCAAACGCTATTTCAAAAGCTTGACATGCTTCCACAGGGAGCCAGATCTGTGCCTCTGTTGAGTCGACCGAGGCCATAATACCACCACTTGGTAGCAGATTGCTTGTAGTCCCATTCTGGTCGACTGATGAGATTGACTGTATTCCCACCAACAGACTGCGACCCTCTTGCGGTGCAAATGATATTGACAGGTTGTTTGGCACGAAACGCCCTGAATCAACCCCTCCGAGCGTCAGACTCCCAAGCACTTGCTTCAAGCGATATTTATTTCCAGCTGTATACCCAAAGCTCAGACTTGGTATCAGATTCTGGTTCTTTAGCGTAGTCATATAGCTTGCTTTCCCCTGCTCTTGTTGTGTAAAATTGGTCGAAGCCGGATTGACGCCGAAGAATCCCAGGTAAAAATCATCCGTCGAAAACGCCCCAACGATCTGGTCCGGTAGAGAAGGTCCACCACTCCCTTGGATCCCCAAGCCCACTGTATCATTGCCATATCTGGCGCTACCCGTTGAACCCAGATTCTGTTCTGCGCCTAACGCATAAAACCCGTACTGGCTCCAGGTGGAAGAGGAGTTAGGGTTGAATAGAAGTCCACGGCCGTTTGAACATGTATCATCGCCAACAGCACATCCCTCGGTCTCAACGATCCAGGTAGTGGAGATCTCGTTGGAGACAAAGACTCGGACGTCTTGAATGGGTGTGCCAACTTGGATAGTGAAAGAAGACCACGGGCCATCATCACCGTCCCTAGACCGGGTCAGCAAAGTTCGGACTTCCCGCGAGCGTAGAAAGATACCAATTTTGTGAGGGCGCTACTGAAATGGGTGTAGGCACTGCCGATGCTGATGCTCGTTCAACCAAAGCAAAATTGGAGGCGGACACAAGCACTATGTATTGCGAGAGCCAGAGAAGGCGAGAGAGGATCGGTGTCTGCATGTTGAGCCTTGTGCGCCGGAGCGCTCACAGAAAGGTTAACAAACGGACGCTCAGTACCGCAACTCGCTTGTCAAATGGTCATCGTAATGAGATTTCATTTGCGATGTCAAGTAAGAGGAGAATGAGATGGTTCATGTATTTGGCGCGAGAATCATAGCATGTCAGCTTTGCCCCGCCCCAACCCAGAAGTGGAGATTTATCTCAACCTCCATGGCTTCAAGCATAATAATCTAAGTAGCCGGCCAATCAACGGTCGAAGGATTCGCACTAGGATTCTCCTCAACTTGGTTCACCAGATCCATGGATACTGGCGGTAAGCACAACTATGTATGCCAATAATAACTGCCAACGATTTGGAAGCAGCATCCTGAGGTATCAATACCTACATTGCCTTACCTATATAATCTGATGGTAAAGATTGTTGATTATTATCCTGGGGAACAAAGCACATGTTTGACACGCGATCGCGGCATGGCTCCACGTGGAAGGAAGAGCCCTCCGATTCCAACTCGACGGACCCCAGGCAATACTCTACTTCTTTACAAATGATTATACACACAACCTTTTCACGCTATTGGATCAATGGATGAGATTGTATTGCAAGAGCATTCCTCTGGTACCAGCCACGCGGTGGACTCCTACTCAATCATACGAATGAAAATATTGGTATCAAGCCCAACGCTATGCTCCCTCGCTGGCTTCAGTAGCCTTGCGGAACGTCTCCCACGGGGTGCAAGTTCCCAAAGCGCGCTTCATGTGGGTATTGACAATGCTCAACCCATACACGTAGCTGGCATTGACCCACCCAAAACCTGAGAAAAGGACGGAAATCAGCCCATGATCTTGCCTCAAAAACATGCTATCTTACCCTCTTTAGCCACGCCTTTGAAATCGCTGCCTTGATCTATGTTCAATTTTGGGAGTCAGTAACCTTTCGGTTGGGTCAGGAGATGGGTTTGTAGCCCGAGGGGCCTCCTGGGTGCTACTTACTTCCGTACTCTGCATCGACTTTGTGAGGATCGATTGGTCGAGTGACATCGTACTTCTCTACCACTATCCCGTTGAAATCGACAAAGGCTTTGGTGACCATATAGAGCCATTTGTACGCAAGTCGCTCGGCCTCGTCCTGAAAACCATATCTCAGGAACCCTCCCCAAGCCAAGATTTGCTATAGACAAAGGCTCCGAGTTAGCGTTGCCTGTTCACGACAGGGTATCGACCCTCGGATCATGCCCGCAAAGTAAACAGAGGACATTTGGACTCCAAAGCCACGTACTTGAGGTGCCCACCCTGTCAAATGTTAGCGTTTCTCAGGCTTCAAGCTGTTCGATGTTTGCTTACCATAGGGGTAGTCCCACTGGCGGCTTGGGCCTGATGATTTCGGAGTCAGCACTACTCTTTCGGGAGGCATTCTGAGTCGCGAGACATGTCTCAGGAGCAGAGGACTCTTTCGATATGTCTGATGACTCATAAGACAGCATGAATGGGAAGAATTGGCTTGAGAAGTATAACGTACGGTCAATGCCAATAGCCCCTCGAGATTCCGCCGTGCCGGATACCAAACCTCCAAATGCCTCGAACTTCGGGAGTGCTTTTATCACCAAAGCAGCAGCCTGTTGAGGAGTCGCTAGGCCTGCCCACATTGCCCAGAAAGTAGTTGCAGTCTCGTAATCGGTTTGCTCCTGCTTGACAGTGTCATAATCGAAGTACATTCCTTTGCTTTCATTCCAAAGGTAACGGTCAATTGCCCTTCTAGATTCTGGAGTCAGCATTGCCTGACGAAGATAGGATTCTGGACTCAAGCATTGGTCCAAGATAGATCTGACTCCAAGAATACGTACCTTCGACTCTTGGCTCTCCGGTTCCAAGCTGCTGACGTCTCCTTCTGGTTGGGTTTCATACCGTGGGCGACCACGCACATGTCGGCTGGAATCTCAAGATGGTCCTCAAAGAAAAATTGGATACACCGAGCGATATCGGTCTCGTACTTGTACAGCAGCGAATTCAAATCGACGGTCGCAAGGTTTGCTGCCACATTTTCCAGACGATAGGAGGTATCATGGCCCGACTCTCTAACCGCTCTGTCATGTAAGAAGTATTCATCCAGATCAGGCTCGGTAACGGTCCCGTCGTCCCTGTTGTACGCTTGAACAAATTCGAAGTATTCCATGTTGTATCTCTTTGCGTATGGCTCAAGGATGTGGGTGAAGTGGCTAGCTTCCGTCTCTGGTGGAACGCCAATGCCTACTGGTCGATATCGGGACAGACCGGTGAGAGGATCAAATCTTGGGGATGCCATCCAGACGGTGTAGTACTCCTTGATGGCAGCTAACATAGCTTCACGGAGAAAGTCCAAGGCGTCGGGTTCATGGCGAATCTTGTCATATACCCTAAGCGCCATGTCTGTAAGAAATGGAGGCTGGGTGCGTCCCAGGTAGTATGTACGATTGGCATTCAAGATCTTGCCATAGTGTTTGATGCAAAAGCAGAAGTTCTGGACCATGGACTTGGCAAGATCAGTTCGCTCATTGACAATAAGTCCAAGTGATTCCATGTAGGAATCCCAACCATACATTTCGTTGAAGCGTCCACCTGGCACGACAAAGGGAAGGCCCCGCAGCTCCTTGGCTGCAGTCCGAGATGATGTCCACTCCTCCATGGCAAGAGCCAGCAGTCCTGGTTTGTTGTTGAGGTCTCTAATCCCTTCAGGTGTGAGTTCATGAGGAGTGAGGACTTGGACGTCAAGGCGAATCAGGGGCCGATCTCTAGCGAGTTGCTCGTAGTATTGGATCTGGTCCGGGCAACTCTCCGGGATGTATATCCGCGGCCTCGGGTCATCAGTCCAGTCCTTAGGGTCCCGTCCCGCCTTCTCAATTGACGAAGCGTCAATACGCCGAGTGAGATTTGGCCAGAACGAGTATCGAATCAGCCGCGAGAGGCGTTGGACGGGGTTCTCGTTCAGTCGGGCCTCATCTAAGATGATGTGTTTCCTGCCGGAATCCTTTGCTAGGGTCAACTCCTGAAGCAAGTTCGACAACACTGATGGGATTCCCCAGTCAGCAATTATTCTTTCTAGATCAAGGTGAAGCAATAAAATATGTGCCTAGTCCGCTGCAGGCCGTTGGAGGACTCATACTGTAGTTCCCACGGATATCAAAATGCTTGAAACCATGGGATGATTCCGTTCCCAACGAAAGAACCTTGGGGCCCGCATCATCGATAGTGATCTGAACATTCTGGTCGGTATCTTCTCTCGACAGGAGACTTTTGAGGGTCGCGTCCACAGGAATGAGGAAACGGCGGGGTTCGCTCGTAGTATCATCTATTGGGAACCTGGATTAGCAGCCGTGTAACGGGCGATGATTGATGGGTATTTACCCAAGCTCAGTCGTCGAAAGGCGGGCAGTGTGCTTGCATCGTGAAGCTGTTGTAAGCGTCAGCAGGCTCCTCAATAGTATTGAAAGGGACAGTACAGAAGTATGGGTTCGGTGACCGTGATGGTCAGAGTCTTCTGCTTTGGAACGAAGATCAAAGAGACGAGGAGCTTGCATTGTCGTAATAATAGGAGTAGTAACCAGCAGAAACAATGTGCTATAGGCAGAAGTGAGGGGGAAAAGTGGTAATATTAGGGGGTAAACCGGTTGTTGATGTGAAGAAAAGTTGGGAAACTGGCCGGAGTTTTGAGCGTTGGATGGGCCAGCATCATGGCTCCTTCCCTTCTTAGGACTATCATGTTGGGGCAGGAAGTTCTCGTAATTGTAATTTGCTCTCTTTGTCGCTTTTCGCATGCTAATTCCATTGGGTATCTGTCCGCGCTCACTAGCCAGCAATGAGACACTGCCTCCCTCGCACAAATACCGCTAAACAATCGTTCGAAGCCCCTTGTTACGCCTTCTGTATGCAATCGATTCATCAATTTGTAAGGTAGTCCTCAATCATAGCCCTATGTGGTCTTCATGCCTTTGCCTTGCCTGAACTCGCCGAGCGAGAAAATCTAAACACGCAGGACCGGATTAGCTAGTGATTCCTTGACAGCTTCGAGGCTGGTACTACTTACGGTGTTCTCGCTTGCGCCTTCTGTGGCGGCTCGTTCTCCTTGTTCCAGAACCGCGATTTGTACGCCGGCCAGCTCGAGTAATTCCAGGCCTTTACCAGTAGGCTGAGAATGTAAAGGACTATGTCAGCTCTGCCGATGATACCAGAACCCATCAGCACCTCCATACCTCTGTGTCTGATCAACATAGTTCTCGTTCCTGACTTCCTTGATACCAATCTTCATGCCGTCCTTGCCAAAACTGATATTCTTCTTCTCCATCTTCTTCGACGTCTTCTCGGCTACATCCGTAGCGATTGTGTATACCGCATAGCCGATGGACGCAGCGACGGTGAGGACGATGAAGAAGATGACGAGAGGGACAACTTTTGAGAGCAGGGCCATGGCTGGTTTGGAGGAGCGGAGGGAAGGCACGTGCGAGGTGTTGTGTCTGGTGTGACCTGATGTTTGAAGCTTGAAGCAGGAGCGTCGAGATGGGGGAGTCAGATTCAACAGCTGCAAATTTTAGGACCAGTTCGGCAACATTTTGTAAAATGTCCCTCGAAAACTAGTCGTGCACAGCCTTCTTCTGCGGTCAAGCTTTCAGGTCGGGCAGCTTTCACTTCAGCGAGCTGGAATTCGGGGTTCTCGTAGGGCTGAGTATCCTAGGCCCAAAGGAGTGGGCTAGCGCGGCTTGGAGTAACAACCTACTTGAGGAAGCAAGATATCTCAATACTGATGATCATTGGAGCCCCGAGAGACGGGCTGACTACCAGACCAGGTATGGGCAAGAAGCTGGTATTATCACATGGAGAGTCACTCAATCGTCAAAGCATCGAATCTTATTTAGCATCTAGCTACCTCGTTCCCCCTTTCCCTTCACCCTCACAGTAGCTCCTCTTCACTCCGGAGGGTGAATGTGTCGAAGATTAAGCAGTCCGAAACGGTGTAGGATCGAGTCTCTGTTGAAGGGGAAATTCTGCTCACGAGCGACGCGGTTTGCTCGCAACCAAATAAGTCAGGCTACTTTCCAACAGAAGGCCCCTAATATTGTCCAGTCTGAGCCGGTGTTCTGGAGGTACCTGGCCGAAGAAGAGGGTAATACGGCGATTACAGCAAAAACTGATCTATTCTTTACTTCTCATGTGAGGGTATGACATTAGGCGACTATTGCTAGGATACAAGGTCCCTCCACAAAGTAGCTAAACAGTGTCGCTGATTCGTAATGTAGAGTATGCAGCGGGATTCAGCGGCAAAGAACATGCACACCTTCCTTCCCTTAAGCAGCGAACAGCCTAATTCCGCTCGCTGGAGCACCGATCTCGCAAACCTCACAGATCCTGCAGACCTGTCCCTTGAACTCCGAATGATATTTTGCACCGTCAAAAGGACAGGCGACACTTGGGGAGCCGCCATATATCGGCGTGTGAGAAGAAGCGCAGACGTCGAATTCAGCGAATTGATCAAACTCAATGTCAATCTTGTCCTGCGGACTTCGCTCGCACTGGGACTTGATCTTCTTTGCCTATGAAGAGGATTAGTAAAGGCAATTGTCATGCAATTCGGAGCGCAAAAGTGTTGCTAACCTGATCCAACAGCTTGGCCGAACCCCCATTCGCAAGCATGCGGTTAGCAAAGCTGAGGGCTGATGAGTAATTCTTGTTAGTGAAAGCCAGTTTCATGGCAGCCATGAGCGCAAGCTGGCGATGGGCAACTTCAAGCTTGGGTATCGTAAAATACGCTGAGAGCTCAAGACTCCGCTTGATGTTGTCTTCGCCCTCGGAAGGCAGGGCCCTTCGCTCCAGCTCCAACGCCATCGCTGTAGCGTACTCGGCCGCCGTCGTGATAATCTTCTTGGCCTCAGCAACGTCCTGCTGAGAGCTTACAGCGTTGACTAGTAGAGAATGTAAAATTCGCTTAAAGGTCTTCAAACCGTCGTCGAGTTTGTTCGATCTCATCGCACTGTAGCCTTCCTGTAAGTCAGTGGTGGCAATTGATTCTAGGTCCCGTGGTATGATGGGAAGCAGCTTCCGGGGATCAGTCTCCTCTACATTTCGGCGCACGTAGTTGACCAGAGGAGGCAATCCCGGAGTGGCTGGCAGGTATGTCTTGGAAGCTTGGTAGATTTCGAGGAAGCGGGGTTTGAGAGGTGCAAGGTTGACGGCGCCCACTTGCCGATTGAGAAGCTGCATAGCGGTCTCGAAAGATCCAGCAGCTGCATGGTCAGCAGCGATGGGAGAGTTGCGGGCCCATAGATCGGCTTCACTACTGCCAGCACCAGCGTCTGCACTGTCGACGTTGACGAAGTCAGACTCGACCTCAACGTTGATGTCGTCACCCATGTCCCAGCCTGCAGCATCTTCGTCTTCTTCTTCGCCCAGCTGGCCATCTCGAGTGACAGCCTCGTCCTCTGGGACGCCTTCAATGTGG